ATGTGACAAAAACACACGCAGACCTGACCCAAATGTTTTATGGCGCAATTGTTACCATCTATTTGCATTATTTTATATACGGCTGGTCACTTTTATGCATTCATTAGCCAACAAAATTGCATATTTAAAACTAGTGACGTGATTGTTTTCTCAACATTGATATGTTCATGTAGCCGACAGAAACGTAAAGGTAAAAACGATATAAATACTGTTGGTTTTCTCACACAAACCGCTCGTTTCGTGTCTTGGGCCATCAATGTGTACTTACATATACGAGTCATTAAATCATGTTTAATTTGGACTTCTCTGTGCATGCTCTTTGAGGAGGACCCCCTTAGCCTCCAGTGTATGACTGATAGACAACAACGGTTTGACCTAAAAATATCAAAATTGAATCTACTGTGAAAACAAAGACACCTACATCTTGGATGCCCTTGAGGTAAGCTAAAACATATCAAAAATTAATTTCAAAGTGAACTATCCCTTTAACTAAGGTTGTAGAAGAATTATTCATTGTTAGTTTGTTAATCTCAACATTTACTAATGCATTTGAAATGGAGTTTTATTTTATTTTATCTGTTATCTGCCTTCACAAGCACCCGTCGGAGCTGTGTTAGTGATGTTTGAGTTGGGGGAGGCGTAATGTGTGAAAGGGCCATTTGAAAGGTTGTTTCAGAACATGCTTCATTTTTGTAATTCCGCTATAGTGTCGCAGGATAAATATATATAACATTAAATAATGTTAAAGTCCTGATCGTTTTTACTTTGCAATAATTAATGCATACCAATGAATATTAATTGTTTAGTATTTTATCTCAAACACAAAACTGTTTATCACAGCATAGTGTGGTATCTTCAAGAAAGAAAAGATAAGCATTCAGCCGTGAGAAACGTGGCCCATGTGTTGTATGTGACTGCGATTAGGTAGTTAGATAAATTAAAGTTAATCTGAGTCTTAAAGTCAGTTCTGCACAGTTCAAAAACAGAACTCAGCTATATGAGAAAGATAAGTGTACTTAAAAATACAATTTAAGGCTGTCTACTTCAAATTTCAAGTTTGATTCAATGTCTTCTGGTTTCTTTGTAATTATTTGTGAAATTTATACTAGCAATTTCTGAGTGAAAATGGCTTCTACAGCAAATCTATTTTAGTGTTCATAGACACGGGGCTTTTTTCTTGCTTTTTCTCACCATAATACATAAAAAAAAAACAGTTTGAGCGTTTACATTTCACCATAAAGCCATAAAGTCTGTGTGTGTAGAGGTTGGAGTATTTCACCATTCACCAAACACACTGTGTTTACACATCACAACCAAACGCTCTTTCCCAGAAAAGGAACTGTTGCGAGAGCATTTGCATTGTGACTAAGAATCACCAAGGGAAGTTCATACAGACTCATTTTTACTCATCCAGACAGACAAGCGTTAGTTTACTTTAAAACGATAGTTATATACACATAATAAAAATGATTCACAAAATACAGCAAAAAAACAAATGGTGCCTTATAAATACACAAGCCAAAATGTACAAATGTGAAGCTTTGTGAAAAGAACATTGGGTGAAAATTAAAAGGTTAGTTCATCCACAAATTAAACTTCTCTCATCAATTATTCACAATGTCGTTCCAAAGCCATAAGACTTTCATTAATCGTCACAACACAAATAAAGATATACTGAAAGTACATTTACCCAAAAACTCGTTCATAAATATATGTAAAATATATACATAAGAAAAAACTAAAGAATTCCATACCTTTGTCTGATTGACAGGTTTTGGATCTTGCTGAAGCTCAAACATGATGCGTGACACGAAAATGAACCTCATTGGTTCTTGCTGAAGCTCAAACGTGATGCGTAACATGAGAATGAACCTCATTGGTTCTTGTTGAAGCTCAAACGTGATGCGTAACATGAGAATGAACCTCATTGGTTCTTGCTGAAGCTCAAACGTGATGCGTGACACGAGAATGAACCTCATTGGTTCTTGCTGAAGCTCAAACGTGATGCGTAACACTAGAATGAACCTCATTGGTTCTTGTTGAAGATCAAACGTGATGCGTAACACGAGAATGAACCTCATTGGTTCTTGTTGAAGCTCAAACATGATGCGTAACACTAGAATGAACCTCATTGGTTCTTGTTGAAGATCAAACGTGATGCGTGACACGAGAATGAACCTCATTGGTTCTTGCTGAAGCTCAAACGTGATGCGTAACACAAGAATGAACCCCATTGGTTCTAGCTGAAGCTCAAACGTGATGCGTAACATGAGAATGAATCTCATTGGTTCTTGCTGAAGCTCAAACATGATGCGTAACACGATAATGAACGTCATTGGTTCTTGTTGAAGCTCAAACATGATGCGTAACACTAGAATGAACCTCATTGGTTCTTGCTGAAGCTCAAACGTGATGCGTAACACAAGAATGAACCTCATTGGTTCTTGCTGAAGCTCAAACATGATGCGTAGCACTAGAATGAACCTCATTGGTTCTTGTTGAAGCTCAAACATGATGCGTAACACTAGAATGAACCTCATTGGTTCTTGTTGAAGCTCAAACATGATGCGTAACACGATAATGAACCTCATTGGTTCTTGTTGAAGCTCAAACATGATGCGTAACACTAGAATGAACCTCATTGGTTCTTGTTGAAGCTCAAACATGATGCGTAACACGAGAAGGAACCTCATTGGTTCTTGTTGAAGCTCAAACATGATGCGTAACACTAGAATGAACCTCATTGGTTCTTGTTGAAGCTCAAACATGATGCGTAACACGATAATGAACGTCATTGGTTCTTGCTGAAGCTCAAACATGATGCGCATGATGCGTAACACTAGAATGAACCTCATGTTTGAGCTTCTGTTTACCAAAATTGAATGCTATGTGAATATTTGGAGGGACAGAAATAAACATCTCTCAGATTTCATGAAAAATATCTTCATTTGTGTTCCAAATATGAACAAAAGTCTTATGGTTTTGGTGAGGGTGAGTAAGCTAATTTTTATTGACAGGATTTTCATTTTTGAGTGAACTATCCCTATATCCTGTAAGAGTTACAGTATATGGACTATTTTTATGTTACTTTCATGTATTTGTGTCCAATTCAGAGTCTCACAGTACAAAAATATCCATGTACTTTCATACCATCATATTGAAACAAGATGTTCAGAGGTTCTACTTTTTGTGTTTCACAAAAGAAAGAAAACGATACAAGTTTGGAACAACATAACAGAGTAAATGAGGAACTTTAATTTTTGAGTAAGCAATTCCTTTAACTCGGATATAAGACCATCAAACCACAGTGTTGCATTTTAATGCAAGCAGCAAACACAATGATGTGTTCACATATTTTGAGACATAACCACAATTTCACACTGTATCAGAATAGTGCAGCAAATGTCTGCACAGTCACAAGATGGTTTAGGTCAGACACAAAGTAAAGCTGCCTGAATTACACACAAACTTTCTGATTCTCAGCGGTTAATTGAGCTAAACGTAATCTTGCGCACACATGGAGCAGGTTAAACATCGCAGGCCTTGATCATACAGACTACCATCATCAAGCTTGGGCTTACTGACAGATCGCTCTTTAGCCCGGGTGACTGGACGATTACAAATTCAGTGTACGAGAATAGACGACATTCAACGCTACATTAGGACAGATACTGTTATAATTCATGAAGAGGCTGGGAAATGTATTCGATATATTGGTAAGATTTTGGATAAAAAGTCTCTTCTGTTCACCAAGGCTGTATTAGGCCAAAAATACAGTAAAGTAATAATATTGTGATAAGAATTTTTCTGTAATTTATTCCTGTGATCAAAGCTGAATTATCAGCATCAGTCTTCAGTGTCACATGATCCTTCAGGAATCATTATAATATGTTATTGATTATATTATCAATGTTGAAAACAATTGTGCTGCTTCATATTTTAATCAGGATACACGTTTTATTTAGGATGAATAGAAAGTTCAAAAGAACATGATTTAATTTAAATAGAAATCAAAATCCGCGTTGTTCATTTCATTTTTTAGGTTCCCACAATGCAATACGTTTACAGGAGAATGACCTGGCAAAAAGAAACACACACCTGCAATCTCAATGCCTCGCTCTACGCTTCACTGCTGAGGATAAAGCGATCACTGTTCCAGTGCCTTATGAGAAGAGATGAAAGTGCACTCAAGACAACATGAGCACACTCACTTTCTTCATGCCCGCTCTTGGTCTTATAAACTCTAATTAATAATAATAATAAAATCAGATTGTGATATCAAACAGCACTTTCAAGTGCGCTTTAAGCTATTTTTAGAGGCCTGTTTCTTAATAAAATATTTCATCTGTGCTAATATTTATTGCACATCTCTTAACTTAAATAGCCCACCTACAAAATCTCTCCTTATCATACATGACAATCTGTGTGTGTAATGACCAAGAAAACCAGCAGACAACATCAATGGAGCCAAAGCATAATTATGAGTTTCAGAATAGTCTTGTGATGTATTGTGAAGACACTCAAGATGCCCCATTTATGCCAATCTGCATTACAGAGATTAAAAGGTGCCCGTGATCAGCAAGCGAACAGATGTTCAGAACGGGACAGATCAGTGTGACGGACACTGAAGCGCTGTCAGGATGATACTGCCATACCACTGCTAAAAATAGATTTGTGCACTAGAAAGCCTGAAGCTTTGCACAGCATCCTGAGTCATTTGGTGACAATAGTTCATCTCCTGTGTAGAATCACATGATGATTAGCTCATGCAAGACTCTTTAATTTAGCCGTTTTAGTGCTGTTAAAGGGGTAGCTCACCAAAAAAAATGAATATGTTGTCATAATTTACTCACCCGCAAGTTGTTGAACAAGTTTATTTTGTATTCTGAACACAGAATGTCGATAACCAGAAAGTATTGACATCAATAGTAGTTTTTTTTCCTACTATGGCTAAACCTTGATTACCAACATTCTTCAAAATATCTTTGTGTTCAACAGAAGAAAGAAACTCACACAGGTTTAAAACAAAATGAGGGTGAGTAAATGTACTTTTTTTGGGGGGGTGAACCTTTAATTTCTAACCCTCGCTTGTTCCACGTTAATGTCTTAACTCTCTAAGCCAAACAAACGCTTGTTGTTCGTCGTCGTAACAGGTTTACGAAAATGTCATTATGTCACTTATGAAGACTCAACAGCCTCGAGCCACTAATATTGAGATTACTTAGATTAGGCAGTGCTGCTCTTTTTCTCATTCCCCAGGGCAACGAGTCAACAAGTTAGAACACCAAGATGTAGTTTATGGGATCAACTGTCTGTCTTACAGTAAGTGACAACAACTACTAGCAGTTTTGTTGCTGAATTTGAAATACAAGCGTCTTGGCAATGTTGATTCCTGCATTGAAGCCAATGCAATCATTAATGTACGGCTCTATCAAGACCAACAGCAAGTTTGGGGCAATATTTGTGAAGTTTGGAGGTCGGGTGCGAATTAACACATTGTTGTTTTGTTGACACACTGCAGACGTTGCAAAGACAGGAACTTTAAATGCAAATAAATCAGCAAAAACTATATTGTACACTTCTGCATTTAGGGACAAATAAAAAGCTCAAAGTGGTTTTGCACTAGCAAGGGTCTCAATGTTGCAAGAACAGCAGATGTAAAGAATGGATCAATCTGACTCTTGCAACACTGCAGCATTAACGCAGAACACCAAACACCTGAAGATACGTGAATATAACGTGTAAAAGCAGCTTTAAACAGGCATCCAGGCGCGCGAGCATGTGTTTTTCAGCATGTTGCTGCAGTCAAGCATCGGCGCGCGCTGACGTTGGCAACAGCACCGCGCACCATCCGCTCCTACACAGCGTCAATTCGGCGCTCTAGCGTCGCGTCAAACTTCTCCTTCCATGATTATCCGATGTAAAACGTCAAAGCTGCTCGTACTTACCTAAATCGTCCATGTTTTGATCCGGCAAATGGAGCAGGAGCCCGTGATTTACCGCTCGGCTCTGTTTCGGGTCTCGTGTGCGCTCCGCGATTGCACGCGGAGAAGTTTTCAACTCAAGTGCACGAGCTGCGCGAGCCCGTGATGAGTCAAGCACACGCCGCGCCCGCTCACTGTCCTATTGACCGAAAGCGAGGCGTTTAGAAACTATATAAAAAAATAAAGAATGAAAAAATAATGTTCAGAAGAAGACGAGTAATTACCAGGGGTGCAAATATTTAATAAAATAGTAGGCTACAAGTATTTAAACAATGCATCTAAATAAAATATGTAAAATATAATATAAATATATATACATTCAAACAATATTCAAGAAATACATTTGAATAAAAAATTATTTAATAAAAAAAATATATAATATAACATTTATAAATGTATTAATAACACAAATAATTATAATGGGTGCTAATATTTAATGCATTAATACAAACTATCCAAACAACTAATTTGAATAACATAATAATTTAAAAATATATTATAACGTTTAAATGTAATTATATAATTTAAGAAATATTACAAATAATATAACTATAAATTGTAGTAAAACAAAACCTACATAATAATAATATAACATTTATTATACAACACAACTGAATAATACTACAATTTGATAATAATAAAATGAACAAAAATAGGTGCTAATGTTTAATTTATTAATTAAAATTATTAAAAATATAATCAAACAATACATGCAATATATCATATACAAACAAAATATAATATATTCTAATATTTAAATAGATAAAAATAGCATAACATACAATTTATGATAGAATACAAACTATCAAAAAAGATAAACTAATATTAAGTACACCTTAACCAAAATGTAAAATTATAAAATAAATAAAATTTTAGGCCTATTAAGATAAAGTGTAGACTAATAAATATCAAACGCATTTAAATTGAGCATTTTAATGACAAATCAGAAACACAATTTGATTAAAGGGATGCATATCACTCTAAACAATGCTGGGTTGTTTCAACCCAAATTTGGGTCAAATATGGACAAACCCAAATGTTGGGTTAAAAATGTTGTTTAAAATTTTAACCCAAACTTTCACTTTCAACTGTAAATGTTTCAATTACATTTTTAACCCAGCATTTTGGGTCGAAACAACCCAGCATGATTCCAGTTATGATTCCAGCAATGACGACAGATATCAAATGAATTTGGTCTCCCACTATTTTTTGTTGTTTTTTTTTTAATGTGAAGGAATCCTTTAATCATCGTTCTGCTATGTTGGTTATGTGTTGGTGTGCTGACCCATAATGGGGAGCTGTTGGCTATGATTAGACACTGGGATATCCCATCAACAGCTGTGAACGGGCTGCTGAAAGCTTCGGGACCTTTGGGAATCTTCTAAATTCACATGTTCATTGCGGCAGTCACACATGTGCTATTACTGTACTCGAAAACAAGCATCATAATACCGAATTAAGACATGATTTCCTACTTGTTGCATAACTGGTTTCTTTTATAATTGATTATCAAAAAGCATAAGAAATAGCATATTAATAATAATAATATAAATACACAGGCAGTATGTCCTACACTACCATTTAAAAATTTCAATTTTTTTGTGCATTATATAAATCAAAAACAACATTTATAATGTAGCCTGAAAAATGAAACGTATCACGGAACAACTGTTTTCAACATGATAATAATCATAAATGTTTCTTGAGCAGCAAATAGGATGATTTCTGACCTATTATGTGACACTGAAGACTGGAGTAATGATGCTGAAAATTCAGCTTTGCATCACAGAAATAAATTACATTTTTAAATGTATTACTACAGAAAACTGTTATTTTAAATTGCAAAAATATTTAGCAAAATTAATATTTTTAGTGTATTTTCTAAATGCAGTCTTGGTGTACATAAGGGACTTGTTTATAAAAAAATGTATGTATATAGTGTATACATTGTGTTCATTATGCAAATGTACAGTATATGCATACATGAAACCTGGATGAGCTAAAAATAATATAATATTTAACATATTTAATTGCCAAAATGTAATCCATAATATTTAATTACATAATACTGTCATCATGTTGACTGGTTTCCAGTGTAAAGTATATCCATAAGTTATATCCGCCACTATATTCAAAATCTCTTTTCTCAGTCATCATTTAATAAGACTACTATAACATTTTATTAAAAATGCTAAATAAAAAAGTGAAAGAAATAAAGTACAACCACTAGATTTGTGATAGACTCACTGTACACACATGCTGTTTTCAGGACAGCAAAGTAGAAGAAACACTCACATGACATCATGTTGTGTGTAATGATTTTAAATGCCAAGAAATCTCATCATTTCACAACTGCTGAAGCCAACAAAACATTCTGAGAAACAGAGCACATCTAACTTTACAATGAGCTGGATAACTGTGAACCTTCTCTGACAAGAAACATACAATTATTAAAAGTGCTTGGAGAAACATGTCAAAAAATCATACGATCCTAAAATAGAATGATTCTCTGAAAATATGTTCCTGTTCTTCGGCTGTTTTTAGCAACTGTTTCAGTCAGTTCCACGGAAACACATCAGACTAGAACCAAAGCATTTATTTAAAAACTCATTTCAATAAATGTCAAACATCTGTTCTCTTTTACACAGAGGTTGTTTGCGGCACCATCTACAAACCACTTCAGAGAGAAAAAAATGTTCTCGGAATGTACAAGATAATATACAGCAAAAGAAAATAATAGAAAATGTAGATTTTTAATACAATAATCAGATATTTAGGTTTGGTTTTAATAATAAATAATATTATATACACTGTAGAAAATATGGTTTAACTTAAACAAGTTACCTAGTTGCCTTCAAATTTTGAGTTCATTGAAATAAAAAAATTGAGTTAATCCAACAAAGGAGATTAGTGTAAAAAATAGAAACTCAAAATATGCTATCTGTAAGCTGATTTAACAGAAGGTAAAAAGTTGTGATAACAAATCATGAATATTAGTTTTTACACAGAGTCATAATATTTCATTAAAATAACTATGTAATAAACCAAAGCTGGGGTTTAGTTTGTGTTACGTTTTATCAATAATGGTCTGTTAATATGAAGTTCACAATAGAGTGCTGAAGTTATGATGTCACTTTGTAGGCCAAAATGCGGAAGTGAGTTAGCATTTTAGCACTTCCGGTTCCCTCGCTCTAAAGTCTATGGGTTTTTTGAACGGGTTTTTGCTAAATCACCTGAAATAAGGTCTGTGGTGAACAAAGCCTCTAAATATTTTCACGTTTTGATCTATGACATGATGTTTTCTAAACTTTATATAGGCTTTAAAATGTATACATTTTGGATTAACTTAAAGATTATATTGATTGACAAAACTCTTTGTTGAACACAGATCTTATTTTTTGCGATTTTCCAAAAGTTTATGGGGAAAATGCATAGCTTTTCGATGAAGGGAACCCATGCACTGCTAACTTACGAGTTGTCCTACAAAGTGATGTCATAACTTCGGCACTCTATAGCTTGCAAAATATTTAGTTCAACATTTACAGTGAACAGAGTCTCATCTGCCGCTTTCTTACCAAAATCTGCCTTGGCAATGTGTAGAGAGGCCTATCTGGTTTGGTAACCTCACAGGTATGCCATGGATAGGCGATTTGGACCGGCAGTGGAAGCTTGCCAGATTGTGTTCATCGTCAGGCCTGATAGCAGTGCCAAACCATGCCAAGCCCTGGCCACATCAGACGGGAGTCATTTCATTAGTTGTTTTTGGAGGCTTCCACGCTTTGTTCTCCGTTCACATGACTCAGCTGAACTCCTGCCAAGAGTGAATGACTTACAAAGAGACAGGAAAGACATAAACATGATGAAAGGAAATGAAGAGAAATACTCACACAAGCACACCACTATGGACAATAGCTGATTCATTCATTTTAGAATTATAGACAGCGTGAAGTCTCATTTTACCTTCATAATCAGATGTATTTATATCCTGAAACACAGAGAGCAATATGTCAATGCAATCAGAAGCCAGGTGATTCCACACCTGAGCTGGAAAGATGGCAGGTTCACAAGTACTTTCTGCTAACACAGTGTATATTGGCATTATAATATCATATGTGACATGTTGACTGGGTCTGCAGGGTTAAATAAAACTATATTTTCATTACTTGAAATAAAATAAATGTATATAAACGTGATAATGTTTCTTGAGAAGGAAATCATAAGACCATTTTGCAAGATGTAAATACTGGTCCAGAAGCACTTCCTGTTTCAGTTTTTTAACACTACACAAAAGCTGGGATAAAATACAACCAACAGAACATGTAAAACTGAATCAAAAAGTTAAACAACATCTTTAAGATGTTTTCTTTACATGTGAAATAAAGAAAACAGTTACAAACTGAAACAGGAAGTGTTTCTGGACCAGTGTTGTTTACATCTAGCAAAATGGTCTAGATTATCCCCGGGGCTGTCCCATTCAGCTCTATTTTTAGTGTCCTGACAATATTATTAAACAATATTATTTTGCCCTGTATTTCTTATTTCCTAAATTGTCTTTGCTAGGTGATCATAAAAGCGAGTAATATGCTGATTTCACGCAGCCAGTCGTCATTTTGAAAGGTGGGAAGAAAACCGGAAGTGTCGTCGCGAATGCGATGGATTGTTGTGTTTTAATGTAGAAATGTGTTATTCTAAAAATGAACATATATTTGTTATTCTAAAAATGTACATAGGCTACTACAATACAGTGAAATTTATAAATACATTGTTTAATATATATTCAGAAAATAAAAAAGAAGCAGGAACGAACTATATTCTACATTGGATATTTACATCTATTAGTTTTTAATCGCGGCAGCAGCTTCAGGTTGGTGTTGTTTATCTGTACTTCCGGGATTCTTCCCACCGGAGCCTCGCTTTCGATTTCAAATCGTGAAACTAGCGTAACGAACGAAACGTTTTCTGTCACGAGAGAACGCGAATAGCCTAATCAAAGGTAAGTTAGCCAATCTTGTCATAGGATATTTTGGAGAATAAAAAAATCCATCCAATTCGATTATCTTGAATTTAGTGAAGGCAGGATATTCGTCGGAGATCAAGTCAGACGCGAAGATGTCAAACAAACGTGTGAACTTTTAATGAGGATCTTCAAAAAGAGTTTATCAAGTTATTATGCGGAGTAAGAAGTGAAAGAAAGTACTTAAATGACACACACCAGAAGCGCTCTCTTTTATAGGCCTACAGCGAGACCTGAATGGTCAAATACAGACACAGTTGTCAAAATGCCTATCATATGTGGAGTATCTCATGTAAATACAGTTGGTTATGACTTGAATATAAAGTTAAACGTAAACAGCTCGGTGAAAACTGGATATGTGTCAGTAGTAACGAATTCTGGTCACCCTATTCTGAAGGATCATGTGACACTGAAGAGTAATGATGCTGAAAATTCAGCTTTGTTCACAGGAATAAATTACATTTTTAAATTATATTGAGATAGAAAACAGTTCTTTTGAACTGTAAAAATATTTCACAATACTGTTTTTATTGTATTTTTCATCAAATAAATGCAGCCTACTGAGCCTAGGTGAGCAGAAGAGACTTCTTTTTAAAAGCCTTAAAAAAAATCTACTTTTGTGCAGTAGCGTATTATCGGTCTAGCAGCAGAGCTAATATAAAAGCAGACACGAGGCAAAGGTCAGAGATCAAACCATGGGGCCGAGGCCTTTATTTCCAATGATAGACACACAAGAGGCAAGGCCAGTCACTTTTGCTTTCGAGCTTTCTTCGCGGCCCTCTGAGCAGGAGTGGGGCAGAGGTCATCGGTGACGGGGCGGGACGCTCTCCTTCAGCTGGCGGACGGGGCAGGGGGAGCGGGGTTAGGGGCGGGATTGGGCGCAGGATTGGGGTTAGGATTGGGTTTGGGTTTGGGAGCCGGGTCGGGGACGGGGAAGCAGCCCCGTTTGTGCCACTGCATGTCGCGTACACGTCGGATGGACTGCAGCTGTGGTTCTGTGGCGCCCCATTCGTTCCAGTGTTTGTAGTCACCGTGTTCAAACACGAACTGCCGGCCGCGGTAGCCAGGGTACATGTAGCCCACCCACCTGAGAAAACAGATCACAGTGATACTCCAGTTTGACAACCAATATGGGATCTGATCCAGTCAGTGCAATACCAGACAAAGTTCACTATAGCAAAAAGATATCTTGAGGAAATTCACTCTTAAAAAAAGAACGGTTCCAAAAGCAATGATGGCATGGATGAACCAGTTTTGGTTCAGGCAACCATTCTTAAAATAACCACTTTTTTCTTGTGTGGCACTGTTTACACCTGGTATTAAGATGTGTTTTGGTCGATCGGATCACAATATTAAGACGCTAAATACAGGAGTAAATGGGTCTAAAGCGCTTTCAGCTTGTCCACTTTCAGTAGTTGAAAACACATTCGACCGGATTGCTTTCGTAGTGTAAATGCTCATGTGGTCGAGTGTGTTCAAACAGACACACAATACCGTCTACTGAACTAATGAGTAGCATTATGGGAAGACTCTAGCCTGACGGGATTTACACTGTCGACTGAAGACCCAAGTTTGTCACAATCATCCTGATTTCTAACACACACTCACAGCGTTCGGCTGGTCTTGCGGCTGTCAGAGCAGAAACTAAACCTGATGTTCTCCGTGTGTTTTTCCGGTCACGTTCATATGTAAATTCAGCTTTTTTTGTCCATTAGATCGAAAGATCTGAATAAACCCATACATTTACTCGCTCACAGACTCTCCCCTCGAAGAAATCAAGAGATTAAAACACCAGGTGTAAACGTGTGTGTCTCCCTCGTCTACTTGTGATACAATCACAAAAACACATGTAAACTGGGCCACAGTGTGAAGAATATTTTAATAATCGAAAGACACTTGACTTTTTCCACTATAAAGAACCTTTCGTGCAATGGAAAGATTACATAAATATAAAAGATTCTTCATGAAACCACTGATGCCAATAAAGAACATTTTTTGAGAGTGTATTTAAAAACTTAAAAACTTTTAAAGAGTAACTAAACCCTAAAACAACTTTTTTTTAGTTAATGATCTTTAAGAATGGATCTTTATTAATACCAGTCTTTGAGTCGAGTAACTTTTTTGAAATTTGTGTATAAAGTGTTTTATTTGTACAATATATGGTGTAAAAACGTCTTAGTGCTGCCCTCTTCAGGTTGAACGGTGGCTACTGCAGATGAATTTTCCTATTGGATGTTAGCGGTATAAAAAAACAGCTTGTTTCGTCAAAACCACTGTAGGGAGTCAGGAGTTGGAATTGCGAGTATTGAACACAATCAGGATAGTGTTTTAGCATCTAGTGGGTGGAGGGGTTTAGTTACCCTTTAAGTAATAAATTCATTAAAACTATCTTGAATAAAAATGAAGATTTAACGTAAGAATGGAGTAAGATTTTAGTTGTTTGTGGATTGTGGGGAATACACACACTACAAGTCACACTTTTTTTGTGGAAACCGTGATACATTTTTTTTCATGATTATTTAGTTTTTACTGTCACTTTTGATCAATCTAATGCATTCTCAGAGAACAAAAGTTAACATTTTCTGAATACGAAAATCATAAGGTATAACAACTCACGTTCCATTGACAGCTTTCGCACTGGCCACACGGTCCTGGAAGCCATGAACCCACAGGCTGGGAATGTCATCATCCACGATTTCCATCTTTCTGCCGGCAAAGCTGCTGTTCTCAAACAGATATAGCTTGTGGTCGGCGCTGTCCTGGTAATTGACCACAAACACAAGACTCAGAGCTCAGATCTTTAGGAGTGTGTGTATATGAGTGTGAACGTGTCTCTCACCACTCTCAGGGGTCTGATGGACAGGAGACAGAAGCTCCTCTGGCTGTTGGTCCAGGTGGTCCAGCGAGGATATTCTCCTTTCTCCAAAACGAACTGCTCTCCCAGAAAGCCTTTCTGCTCAAAGGCGACCCATCTATGACAAGAACACAATCACTGACAAGCTATCATGATGGATAAATAGACGATTTCTGTTGATTAAAGCGGGGGTTCCCAAACTTTTTTGTCAGCCGAAGCTGTTTGACCTTAAATAAAGTAGAATATAAAGTCGATTTTTAGTATAATTGATATACTATATATTTTTGAATTAGATCTTTTTTTTTTCTGCTTTCATTTTAATTGTAGGCCTAGTTAAAGTCTTAGTATTTTTGTTGTGTTAAATGGCAAAACTAAAAACTAACTTTTAGCTAAAAAGTAAATTTTTGTCTTGATTTCAGTGCAAATATCTAAACATTCTTAAACCCACATTTACACGAGAAGGCAAAATGTCTTGTTTTCTGAAAAATGAATCAAAGTTAAGTGAGATTTTGAAAACAAGAAACAAATATGGGGTCAGAAATGTAAACTTAATTCAAAGGGAAAACAGGATTATTTTTCTGACCCCATTGCCATTTATTTTTTATCCTGTTTTAAGCATTAAGTCACTTAATTTTGATGCATATTTCATTAAACGAGACAAGTCATTTTGCTACTCATGTAAATGTACCTTGATTTAAGAATGTTTAGATTTTGATACTGGGAAACACAACAACAACAAAACAAAAAAATTTTTGCAATGTAGTCATTAAGTACTTTTTTTAATTGTAACTAAATGAAAATGAGATATAATGCCTCGGAAAATGGCTGAAATAAAATAATTTTAAGGTTTTTTGACAATTTTATTTTCAAGTAATGAAAATGTTTTTAGGTTATTTAACAATAATAACCCAGACGTAGACAAATAAAACATATACAATTATAACAGTGGTAATGTAATATTAACAGAACAATAACTATGTATTATATTGAGAGTTTGTTCTGTTAACTGTCAATTTATGTAAATTAATTAATAACAATCCATTTTGTGATTCAAGAATTTTAAGGAACAGAATTAGAGAACATGTACTGTACTCACGGGCAAGACTCAACTATAATTGATCCGACTTTTTCCAAGTTCTTCTCAATCAAGTCCTTGCATTCTGCTGACAGCTCGACCTTTTTCCCTCGGAAGTTCTCAAATTCATACAGTGAGACCTGTAAAGAGAATTCAATACATTTTAAGTCATAAACCATTTAGGTTTCAGCATTTACATGTAAAATTATTTATACAAATCATTACAATCATTCACTCTTAGAAGAAAAGGTTCTATCAGTGCTACGTATTTGGAACCCCTAAAAGGTTCTAAACACTCTTAAAAAAGCGTTCCTCTAGGTTCTATATAGAACCCTGGGGTTCCATACTTGGCCAATAGAACCTTTTACCAAAAAAAAAATGGTTCTATATAGAACCATTTTGGAGTTCCATATATGAAGCGGGCGATGGAACCATTTCTGGTTCTAAATAGAACCAGTGTTTCAGTAAAGAAATAGGTTCTTCTCTTGTTTCATGAATGAAACCGTCTTTTGGACCTTGAACCGTTTGGTCCCCAGTGAAGTCCATTATATGGAGAAAAATCCTGGAATTTTTTCATCAAAAACCTTAATTTCTTTTCGACTAAAGAAAGAATGACAATGAAATTATCAGCAAAAGTTTTTTTTTTTTTTACTAATGAACTAATCCTAAGCATTTACGTTAACTAATGGAACATACAGTTTTCGTACAAACAACTCACAAATGAGATATCTTTGACTTTTTGTCTCCTATAGGCAGCAATGAGATCAAATATAAACCAAACAGAGATGTTTGCTTCAGAGAACTTTCTTCGCAAGTAATCTCAGCGTGTCAGAAGAGATCTCAATAATCTCTGTGCAATCTGTGCAATCACAAAGTTAGAGATCTCAATATAAACTCAAACATTTCTCAATCAAATTGTTCAAATTAAAATGATGTAAGATGCTCCACATTCATTTATAGCTCAAAAATGTGTTAAAGTTGATACGTAAGATATAAAAGAGCAATTTCTGAGTAAAATATCCTCTGTGAATATTAAATGTGTATATTTGGACCTTGTAAACTGCTCCTGCTCCTCCTTGGCTCTTCCCAGCAACCTGCTGATCTGGGAGTCCCTGCTGATCCGACATCTCTCTGTCTGTCAAACACACAAAAACACGGAGACGACAAAGTGAACCATTCTGAATATGCCCTGCGATATAGCAAGTAAATCAAACCAGATGTTATAGACAGAAAATATATGAGATTAGATCTTCAGTGGGCAGATAGCTGGACACTTATACATACATGATGGCATTATATCGAAACAAAATATCAAAGCGGGTGGCATTTATTTTGAAGAAAGACGGATAAGAATTATTACACTCTAAAAAATGCTGGGTTGTTTCAACCCACATTTTGGTAAAATATGGACAAACCCAAATGTTGGGTTAAAAATGGAATTTAAAAAAAAATCAGAGTTGAAAGTTACATTTTTAACCCAACATTTGGGTTTGTCCATATTTGACCCAAAATTGGGCTAAAACAACCCAGCATTGTTTAGAGTGTGGTGCAAAAAAAAAAAAAAAATTACACACATATATATATATATATATATATATATAAAGCACAACCTATTACCCAACATTAATTAGGTAAACATTTTTAACAGGTTTAACAAACATTGAAAAATGACTGCAAAATAATATAATTAAACACCGATAATTATGTTCAATGCACGCATTTGTTTGCAAAAGTGTTCTAAAAAAAAAACTAAGAAGATGAAACATCAAAAGTGGTATTTTGTTTTACAAAGAGGTACAAGCTGAGGTTTAACAAACATTGAAAGAGCAAAGAGGACTGAAAAAAATCCAAAAGGAATGCAATTAAACAGATGATTATGTTCATTACACGGATGTTTGCAAAACATAACAAAACAGACAAAAAAAAACCATCAAAAGATCATAAAACATCAATTTTAGTTTATTTTAAAGAAAGATGCATCATGCTTTTAATTCAAAAAAAAAAAAGACGCGTGTTAGGTTTTATTAAACTATCTAGTGTTGAAAATGACGTATGAAAGGATTTTGAACACGTTCATGTTTTCGCAATTAATGTTCAAGAAGATCAAGAAGACCACATCGCTGTTTCTGATAAAGAAAAATCTAGAAACCGTGCTCTCTGAAAAAAATAGTCTCTAATAAATTCTAGGACAGTTCATTTAGATATTCAAACAATAAACCTAAGACAGATAATAGATATGAAAAGTAAGACTTGCATCTTTACCTGTTTCTCCTGTCCGTGACCTTCAGCAGTTCTTCTCACCCCTCCACTCTCTGTGTGTGTGTGTGTGAGTGTGTGTGGAGGTGAGGGTGTGTCGGGTGAGTGGTATTTATGGTTTAATTCCGTCCACAGCAGCAGAAATGGGTTGGCCGTGGATTGCTGTTGATGCAGCAAGTCTGTCGTTCTCATTTGTGTCCGTCAGACTGCCTCTCAATAGGCCGAGAGTTGGCAGGAGTTGCCCACAGCACCCGCCTGCTCTGCTGCCAGCGTGGGTACAGCGGGCATCCACAGGGAGCGAGCCAAGAGGATTCAGACGGGATCAGCTGCAGTCATCACAACGCTGCTCAGTGTGCCCCCCTCTCTCTCTCTCTCTCTCTCTGGTCACTGCAGTCCCGTGAGCCACCTCTGTGCCTTAGTGTTTGCCCAAGAAAAGCATGTGGAAGACTATCCCCGGTTTCACAGACAAGGTTTAAGTGTAGTCCCAGACTAAAATGCATGTTTGAGCTGTTTGTTTTAAATAAAAGCAACTTGCACTGATATAAAATATGTCAGAGCCTTTGTTTTGTCTCAAGATGCACATCAGTAATGTTTTTTTTTTCTAAGATACGTTTATAAAAGTTACTTGAATGTCCTAATTAAACTAATGCCTGAGCCCTGTCTGTGAAACCGGGCATTAAAGAACTCAATTCATTAAAAAATAAAATATAAATCACTTCTCAAATTGACAAATAATAGTCGTAAAGTTTGAATGAGCATTACAAAATATTATTATTTGACTCAAATTGACAAGTAATCATTTTACTTTTTAAGTAACACGACCGTTAAAAAGTTTGGGTTCAGTAAGACAATTATAATATTACAAAAGTTTTCTGCTTCCAGTAAATGCGGTTATTTATTTTTTTTACCTTTCTATTCATTAAATAATTCTTTAAAGTAAAGTAAGGTATCAGTGTCCACAAAAATGTTAAGCTGCAAAACTGTTTTTAACTGATAATAATCTGAAATGTTTCTTGAGCAGTAAATGGGCATATTAAAATGATTTCTGAAGGATCATGTGTGGCACTTTTGAACACCAGTGTACTTCATAATGGTTAGAAATGCAAATTGACTGTAAATTCATCCTGACTAAATCATTTTTATTTGTTATATTAAGTAGAAATAATATAAATGATTGAGGTAAGGATAAACTTTTTCAGTGCATGATCTTGTTATTCTGCTGTTGGAAGATTATCACTTGAATGGCTTGTTAAAAAAGCAAATAAAACAAATTAAACGGTACACCATGTAACTTTCGGCCATCTAGCGGTTTGGAGTGCTTTGAACTAATCTTTTTCCGAGTCAAATTGTTCATTTCGTTCGTTGAATGAACCAAATGACTCGAAAAAAAGATTAGTTCATTTTGATGAACGAGTTCGAACAGGAGAGTCAAGAATGCGCATCACAGAACAGAGCAAGACGACCATTTGAGCTTATAAAACTTAAACTTTGTTATCTATGTTTTAAATGAGCGATCGTTTTGCTTGATAAGAACCTTATTCATCGTCTGGAATCGTTTAAAGCCCTTTGAACAGTTTGCACTGAAACTGTCTTTTGGACCTTGGACCGTTTGGTTCCCATTGAAGTCCATTATATGGAGAAAATACTGGAATGTTTTCATCAAAAACCTTAGTTTCTTTTCGACTGAAGAAAGAATGACATGGACATCTTGGATGACATGGGGGTGAGTAAATTATCAGCAAAAGTTTTTTTTTTTTTTTTTTTTTTTAAAGTGAACTACTCCTTTAAGTTTAAGTGAACCAGATGGAAAGACTCTCAAGCTGACTAGCTGAAGACTTTACTGTATCTTTAACCGTTAATAGACACTTTACTTAATTGAAGATAAATCCCAGCACAGAGTTAGAGAGCTTTGGCAATTGTTCTGTTAAATAAAAGACCATAGTTACTCACCTGTTGAGTAATAAAAGCATTCATCTCCGAAAAGCAAAGCCAAAGTTGATTATCGCTTTGAGCTGTCGTGTGTTCTCTTTTTGCCAACTGATTCTCCTCTAATGCGTTAAAAAAAATAACCGGATGATCAGCTCATTAGGCTAGAGCTCCAATAACTGAACAATGTGTATGTTTACATGACAACAATGTACTAAAAGTAGGAAAGGTTATCCTTAGTGTTTTTTAAATGTTTTGAATGAAGACAACAATGTTGTCATATTGATCCTGGTTCACAAGGATCTGTGAAAGTGACTAAGGCCCCGTCCACACTACTGCGTTTTCGTTTAAAAACGGAGACCTTTTGCTACGTTTGCACCTCCCGTCCACACTAAAACGGGAAAAACGAAGACCTAAAACGGAGAAGTTTAGAAACGCTGCAGCTGCGTTTTGCGTTTTGAATCTCCGGAGGGCGTTGTACTGTGGACGAGACAAAACGGAGGAGTTTACAAACGATGACGCAGAGGCTCACGCTCGGCTCTATGATTGGGTGTCATCAGTCATGACGTATCTTTCCCTGATTCGCCAACCACTGTTTACACCGGCGCGCGCATGCCCAGTGTTGGTGAATGGTCACGTGATCCACGTTTTCAGTCGTTTTAGTGTGGACGGAGATAAATTCTAATACGCACTACGCAGATAAAACGCTAGTGTGGACGGAGATCGTTTTCGTTTTAATTCTCCGTTTTTAAACGAAAACGCAGTAGTGTGGACGGGGCCTAAAAGTACTGTATGTATTCTGCTGCCAGGCCAGTATAGACAATAATGGTATCAGTTTTTCAAAAACTTGCACTTTGAAACCAGTTTTTAAAAGTTAGGTTTTAATGCCCCCAAAATGCTGTTGTGTAAATTAATTTTTCTTGTTTTAGTTGAAAATCTTGTGTAAATATCCCCCTAAATGTGTCAGATAAGAGACATAAAGAAAGTGAAGAGTGGTGGGTCCAAGTGGTCAAATACAAAGACCGCAATTGTGGGTATTTGGACAGGCCCAATAAAAAATGTGAAGAGTGGCGTGTCCCCAAGATGCATAAACTCTACAGGTCCAGAAGAGAATCAAAGGTAATCAATTAAGATAAAAGGGGTGGAGCCACCTTAACTCAAATCTGTACAAAAATGGCAAAGCCGAGCACTGGTGTGTATTGTGGTGTTTGAGTCAAAGTTTGTTAGGATGGGGTTCCTGAAAGGTGTGTTAGTGGTGGTTTTGGTAGTTGCATTTGATCTGCCTAATGTCTTGGGAAATTTGAGGTATAGTCATAGTCCAAGAAGCATGGGGCCAAAATCTGATCCAGCTTCCAGAAGTCCTGACCTTTCCCCTCTAGGGTTCTGGAACCCTTTGCAAGTGGCTTCTCAGTTTCAGAGTCCTCTGGGTCCCGACTCCAAAAGCCTTGCACAGGATCCTTTTGGCCTTCAGGAGAAGCAGCTGTTGCAGGGTCCAGTGAAGCCTTTGGATTGGAGGTATCCCGTCGTTCCCGAGATGCAGAGCGAGGTGGCGGTGGACTTCCAGTTGAGGCAACCCGTGACTCCCAGCAGCGTAGCGGTTCAATGTGGCGAGAACAGGGTTCTTGTAGAGGTCCAGCAGGACTTTTTTAGCAATGGTCAGTTGATCCAGCCAACTGGTCTGTCTCTAGGTGGATGTCCTGTTGTTGGTCAGGATCCTTTGGCAAGAGTGCTCATCTTTGACTATGAATTACAGGACTGCAACAGTGTGCTGATGGTAAGAACTCCTAAATCTAAATGGGTTATTTTGGTGTGGCAGAGGATAGACATAATCTTAAGGAAAGTCAGTTTACTTGGTCTTAACTGCCCTGGCATTGCAAAGACAACCAAGTACTACATATTTAAATGTAGAAATCCTGAATTTCCAAATTACTTGCCTTTAAATGACCCTTCAAAACAACAACAACATTTTGATGCTGTTATTCCACCAGTGCACTTTCCCATTCATAGTGATCTGAGGGCATTGTCTTGGTATATGTGAAGTATTTGGGGTGACCCTCTTGGTAACCACAATCTTCTTGCAGATGAATGAGGATGAGCTTGTCTACACCTTCTCTCTTACCTACACCCCAGAGGCGCTTGCAGGTACTCCGATTACCCGGGCTGATGGTGCAATTGTCGGCATTCAATGCCATTATCCAAGGTAAGTGATCTGAGACTCTGCGTTTTCTTGAGCAACTGGGAGACCAATTGATGGATATTTTCATGAACCGTAGGCTTCAGAACGTAAGCAGTGATGCCTTGAGGCCAACATGGGTCCCTTATGCTTCATCAGAGGCTGGTGAAGAAGTCTTGGTCTTCTCCCTGAAGCTCATGATGGGTAAGTACAAGTTTCTCACAATAATTTACACCTTTACTATTGTGGCTGTGCCTAAAATGTTTTTTGTGTGTGTGTAGATGACTGGTCCTATCAGAGGCCTTCATACTCCTATTTTCTGGGTGGTGTTATCAACATCGAGGCGTCTGTGAAGCAGTACAATCATGTTCCTCTGCGTGTGTTTGTGGACCGCTGTGTGGCCGCTCAATCACCTGATGTCAACTCTCTTCCGAGATATTCCTTCATTGAGAATCATGGGTAAGTTCATGGCCCTTGATGCGGTAGGACTGTTTAAGTTGCTTTTTGTAATCCCTTTGTCACAGAGTCATCTAGTTGCTTGCTGTTGTAGTTGACATTGGAGTTACTCTTTCTGATTGCTCTGTTGTCAGATGCTTTGTGGATGCCAAAACTACAGGTTCCAGCTCCCGCTTCATGCCTCGGTCCCAGGTTGACAAGATCCAATTCCAGCTGGAGGCGTTTATGTTCCAGGAGGGCAACAGTCCTTCTGTACGTGTCCTGTATATCATGTGTTAATTTGACGACTCCTCCCATCTGCTTTGGTTTTGTGACTTGTCTGTCCTCTCTTGCAGATCTACATTACATGTATTCTGAAGGCAACTCTTGCTTCTGCACCCAGTGATGCTCAGCGGAAATCCTGTTCATTTGCCAATGGGTACTTACCTTTTTTCTTGTTTAGCCCCTTAACTGTCACCGTCCCGGTACCGGGACGCCTAACTTTACTTCACTATATTTCTATTAAATTCTAATCTAATTATGACAAATTATATATTTTTGGAAAGGTCTAAGACTTCTAATTAAATATTCGACCCCTGTTTTGTGTTAATTATGTAGGAAGAGTAATTAATGAATTTATGACAAGAGTGCACCTAAAAAAATCTGCATCATAACAGGAGTTTTGACCTTTGTCACAAAAAGTTGATGCACCCATTGCACTCATTGAAACTTCTGTTTTTATGCTAAAAGTTCATAATAAAACATATAATCTAGTATTTTTCAATAAAAAATAAAGTATAGTATAAAATTATCCTCTAAAAATAATAATATATATGTATATATTATCCTCTAAAATATAATAATATTTTTTATCGCCTTTTTTGTTCTATCACACATTTTAGTAGTTATCATAAATTAGGTATCATTTGAAAGCTTATAAACTCAGAATTCATCCTGTGAAAACCATTTTATAATTGAACGTTGCGTTACCATAGAAACGGTACTTATTTTATGAGGCTCCTCCCCTTTTGGGCATCCTTATTTTTCATTATTTATGATCAAAACCTTTATTAATCTTGACGAAACACATATTTTCAGAAAGGTCTGAGTCTGAAGGTTCCAAATTTTGTGACAATTGATATTTGGACAGAAATGTATTAATTTGTTAAGGCAGAATGTGCACAACTAAATTCAATGGAATTCAATGGCACCCGGTGGCTATTTTTGGTACTACGCCTAAACAAAATCTCAGGGAACTTCAATTTTTGTGATATCAACTTCAAATTTGGAACATAACTTGGTTAGATTTATGGCTTTGATTTTATAGTAATTTTAGAGTAAAAATATTTTGTAAAATATATATATATTTTATATAAAATAAAAATATATAGTACAGTATATTTGATTTACTGTGAATTAAAACTTCCATAACTTTTTCATACTTTCATTTTTTTGAAGTGTTTTCACTTCAGCAATAATCTGCTGAGTGTTTTCTTTAAAACAAGACCAAACTTGGGTATATATTCCAAGGCATTCTTAAATTACAACCATTTAAGTGTGAATAGAGCATTTAACCCCCATTCTCAAAAGGGGGGGGGGGGTGACAGTTAAGGGGTTAGATGGCCTTTGCTCATGTTGAAGGTTCCATGTCTTTGTTTTGTTGCAGGTGGGTTGCTGCTGATGGAAACGACCAAGTTTGTGGTTGCTGTGACTCAACTTGTGGTCCTGATGCTGAATTTGCTGCTTATCCCTATGGAGGTTGGTTGGGTTTGCTCTTTCTAAGGTTGCTTTTTATTCAAGCGCTCTAACCTGGCTCTCTTCTCTATAGGCATTCAGTGGGAAGGCAAGGCCTCTCTTGGTCCTGTAATGGTTCAAGGGCAAAAGACTGGCTCTCAATAAAACTGAAAAATAAATCCTTGATTGTATCTGACTTGTCTTTTTGATTCATGTCTTGTTGACTTTGGGGGGGAAAGTGCCTCATTCTGCTTATGTGGTGACAGTCCTACTTTACTTTTCAAGTCCCATATATCACGCAACCATAGGGTTATGCTTTTGAAGCCATGAGTAAGATATTCCTGATTAAATTCATTACTACTAATAATGAGGTTTTTATCGCACTTTCATGTAGCCTATTCTACTACACCCAAATGCATGACTCATATCAGGGGCTCTTTACGAGAAGATTTTTCATGACCACAGAGAGACGGGAGTCCGAGTTTCGTGATTTAGTGGCTTCTTGTCAACTTTTCTCGCTCGTTGTGACAATTTACAACTAACATCTGCCACTCTCAAACCAGACAAACGTCAAGTAGCCAACTTTACTCTGTTTATGGAGACATGCACGGGCGACGCAGTTTCCCGCAAAAACCATCAGGTCTAAATAAACACTTAGGCTTATTACTGGATTGTATCATAGTGAATCACGATAAGACAAGACGTTTTGGAAGAAGGATATTTACATTTTGTTAATTTTGAACAAAATATGTAGCATATAAAGAGTGTAGGCTATAGCCTACTTTTAAATAAATAAAAATGAACATAAACAAGGTGTACAGACCTCCATAGCAACATCTAACCCACCGACTACTAAACGCCGAAGTTTGTGCTAACACTAGCCTAGCATACTGAAAAAGTAGTCTAGGCTATAGATTTGAATGTATGGTTCTTACTCTGTAGCCTATATTAAAATGATAAAGTGTTTATTAGACATCTTACAGCTTACTAGACCTAAATGTGTAATTCATACACTCTTTATACAGCAATTTTCCACAAAAATATTATCTAGAGTGAGTGAAAATATATTTGGAAACCATATAACTGTTTCCAAACAGGAACCTCTCTTTCTATCACACACTTATTGAAAATTCAGCTAAGGTTTTCAAACCCCTGTGCTTGATCTACTGATATCTCAGTCCTGGCACATATACAAAGACAAACATGCTTCCCATTTAGAAAAATATTTAATGAAGATATCCCTTAATTGTAATTCATAATTCATTTTTTTATAAAACACAACTCCCGTTGCCCAACATTAAACAGGTAAACATTCTTCTAGCAGCAATTTACACAGCTGAAGTCAATAAAACATTGGAAATGACTGAAAAACATTGAAAAAGGAACACAACTAAAAACACATAACTCAGATTTGTGTTTTGTAAAAGTGTTCTTGGCCGGACTGTAAGGACATGGGCAACAAAGCACAATAAAAAAACATCATAAATGATAATCGATGCTTCTCTGCTTACAAGATTTAATTCAAGTACAAATACAGAGAAAAAAAGAATTATAATAAAAGTGAACAAGATCAAATTACCATCAAATGATGTTTAGAAATAGGGTTTAAAGGAATGGCACAATGTAAACAGAACAAGAGAAAGAAAAAGGATGTTTTATAGCAATGCCATAATGAATATAAACACAATATTTAAAATCTGATTTAAAGAAAAAATATAGATCAAATGCAAAGTAATGCCTAAGACCTCAAGGCACAATTTCCAGTGGTGTGACTCATTTAAAGTGCATTGTAGCATGAAGCTATACTGATATCTGCTTTCCCAGATCAGAGATGGACGACACGAGCGCTTTTGGCCCTGCTTGAACCTAGGAAACGTCTTTCCAATGAATTGCTTGTTTTACCATCCTGCTAAATTAATAAATGTAAACAGAATCAAAATGAGCTTGGGTTCCTTCCCACTGGTCCAAGACTGATGGTAAACAGCTCATGCTTTTCAACCATCTCGTGCTGATTATGAGGCTGCAGACTTTCATGTTAAAAAAGTAAAAAGGTGCATAACAGGACAGCATCTTGGCAAAGCCTGCAAACATTTTAGTCCGGGGACACGTATTTGAAAAACATATCTGATAATCAGTCAGTATGAGAATGAAAGGCTCATTGCACTTCTCATTTACGCATGTCAGTTCCTTTGGCATCTTAGTGGCATCAAACAGACTTCCTTCCAGATTTCCTCAAACAAACTGCATCAGACCTGTGAGGAGAGACGGCAGAGTAAACACCCTTCTAAAACTGACATTTGCAAATTGATATAAAAGTGGATTTTGTCCCCCTCTACCGGGGATGAAGGGAGCGACATACGAACGTCCCACACTGTAAAAAAATATTGATGGTTTAACTTAAAAAAGTAAGTAACCTGGTTGCCTTAAAATTTTAAGTTGATTGAACTGGAAAAAGTGAGTTAATACAATGAAGGAGATTAATTTAACCATCAGAAACTCAAAATTATATGTTATCTGAACTAAATAAATTATTTAAGTTGATTTGACAAAAGACAAAATGTTGTGATTACTATACACTGTAAAAAAATATTGTTGGTTTAACTTAAAAAAGTAAGTAACCTGGTTGCCTTAAAATTTTAAGTTGATTGAACTGGAAAAAGTGAGTTAATACAATGAAGGAGATTAATTTAACCATCAGAAACTCAAAATTATATGTTATCTGAACTAAATAAATTATTTAAGTTGATTTGACAAAAGACAAAATGTTGTGATTACTATACACTGTAAAAAAAAATGTTGTTGGTTTAACTTAAAAAAGTAAGTAACCTGGTTGCCTTAAAATTTTAAGTTGATTGAACTGGAAAAAGTGAGTTAATACAATGAAGTAGATTAATTTAACCATCAGAAACTCAAAATAATAAGTTATTTAAACTAAATAAATTATTATAAAGTTGATTTGACAAAACAAAATATGTTGTGATAACAATCTTGAAAATATTTCTCGGAAACTTAGGCTTCTTGACTCAATTTTAAGGAGATATGATTGCATAATACTTTCATCGGATTATTTCAATGTCTTTTCTAGTGATAAAGTATGTTTACAAGCTGTTTAATTCAAAACATTGAATTCAAGTTAAAAACGAATTTCACAAAATTAATCAATTCAAACTAAAAAAAACCCTTAAAAGGTTCTATATATGAAACACCTGACAGAAGCAGAACCCTTTGAGGTTCTATATAGAAATGTTTTCTTCTAGTCTATGTGCTCTCTTATCATAATGAAGAACATTGAAGCAAATATAATGTGAAAGATTTCAGGAAAACCCTCATAAAACAAGTTCAGGACACTTCAGGAATCAGTGATTTCTGGACACACACTCACCTTGACTTACACAGATTCATGCTTCACTATCAGGCTGATTCATTTTCTTCTTGGATTTGAGCTCAAGCAGCCATGAGGGTGAAGAGCCGGACCTGGATTTACATAATTCACGATTATTACAAATAACAAACACTTAAAAACATAATTCAGATCATTCTTATTAAAATTCATCATTACGGATCCAAATAAATGTGCTAAAAGTTACTAAATGAAGCATCACTATCTATCTATCTATCTATCTATCTATCTATCTATCTATCTATCTATCTATCTATCTATCTATCTATCTATCTATCTATCTATCTATCTATCTATCTATCTATCTATCTATCTATCTGTCTGTCTGTCTGTCTATCTGTCTGTCTGTCTGTCTGTCTGTCTGTCTGTCTGTCTGTCTGTCTGTCTGTCTGTCTGTCTGTCTGTCTGTCTATCTATCTGTCTGAGCCACTGTAGTGTTAATCAGATATATGTCAAAAAGGAAAGAAAAGACTATCGTAACTTCTGTTTCATACGGATGTTAATTAATTATGGATCATTCAATTAAAATAACCAAAATGAATTCAACAGAATGAGAAGAATGAGAGTCCACTCACGCGTTGTCCTTGGCGTCCACAGGGGGCAGCACTCTGGGGCCGAGGGCCATGGTGGGTGTGCGGGGAGAGCGAGCGGGAACCGACGGAGGCGTCTGGGCTTCTGTTGGACTTTCTGCTTCCACCACTCCACTTCTCCGCTTTAGCTGTGCCTGAAGAGAAAGACGAGACAACCTTGTTGAAACCACTGAGACTGAGACTAGAGTTGTATGCTAGTTGAGGCTGATTAACACTGGTTAGTGCTGGTCTTGTTGGTTTACCACCACAGCCTCAAACCAATATTAAGGTATAATATAAAAGGTCTCATTTATAAGCATTAATTCATGAATTACCTCAAGGGCATCCAAGATGTAAGTGTGTTTGTTTCCACAGTAGTTTCAATTTTGATATTTTTAGGTCAAACCGTTCGTGTCTGTCAGTCTTATAATGGAGGTCTATGGTCACCACCTCAAAGAGCATGCACAGAGAAGTCCAAATTAAACATGATTTAATGACTCGTAAATGTAAGTACACATTGATGGCCCAAGACACGAAACGAGCGGTTTGTGTGGACTTCTCTGTGCATGCTCTTTGAGGTGGTGACCATAGACCTCCATTATATGACTGACAGACAAGAACGGTTTGACCTAAAAATATCAAAATTGAAACTACTGCGGAAACAAAGACACCTACATCTTGGATGCCCTTGAAGTAAACTAAAACATACCAAAAAATAATTTCAAAGTGAACTATCCCTTTAACGATAAGCAATATACACCTTGGTTAACTTAAAATTTAAGGACCTTTCAAGGACTTTCCACGCTCAAATTTAAGGACTCAATGTGAGAGCAAGGTTACATCGTGTTACCTTGTAGGATGCATTGTTAGTTTTGCGCACGTGAACATCAAGGCAACGAACAAAACAAAGTACCTCATGCTGGAAACACTTAACGCAACACATAAATGCGCGTAACGTAAATCAAGCAAGCTAGTATGCATAGGGTTCCAAGTGTTGGCAAAATAACACATTAGCGGATCGGAGAGAATAATATGGAATTTTTTCAAGAAAATATTTTTTCTTGCACAAAATAAATTCAAGCATTTTCAAGGACCTGTATCTGTGTATGTTTAAACTTTCCAGGGCCTTGAAAAGATTTTCAGATTCACAAACTTTCAAGGATTTCAAGGACCAATGGGATTCTTTTTTATTAAAAAAAATACTATTATTTATGGGCCCCATTGACTTCCATAGTGTTTTTTTTTTTCATACAATAGAAGCCAATGGGGTCCGTCATCTGTTTGGATACCGTCTTCAAAATTCTTTTGTGTTTAGTAGAAGACAGAAACTCATACAGGTTTGGAACAACTTGAGGGTTAATAAATGATGACAGAATTGTTATTTATCCCTTTAAGGTCAAGCTTCCTAATGGAGACACCAGCGTCCAAAACCTGACATATAAAATCCCAGCTATACTGGTCCCATCAGCAGGCACATATAGTGTTTGATGCTCTACCATGAGGGCTGAAGGGTTCATCCCCGGAAACATGGGGACTCTCTTCGGCTGGCAGGGGGCAGGAGTGGGCACGGCGTCCCGGGACGGCTCTTCTTCTGATTCTGAGTCCCTTCCATTGGAACACTGATCTTTGGCATCTGTAATAGATTGATACGTTAAAAAGTACCTTAAAAAGTTTGGGGTCAATACTGCTCTTTTAAACTTTTTATTCAAAGAACCATAGGGCAAAAGATCAAGGTTTCCATTAAAATATGAAGCAGCACAACTGTTTTCAACACTGATAATAATCATAATAGTTTTTTGAGCAGCGAATCATCATATTATGATTTCTGATGGATCATTTGACTCCTTGATATTGGATCACTTGAATAAATTATATTATCTATTCATTCATTCTTTCTTTCTTAATTTTTTCTTTCTAACTTTTGTTTTTTCCAACTAATCTTTCTAACTTTTCTTTCTTTCTAACTAATATTTTTTTCTTTTTTCTTTCTAACTAACCTTTCTTCTAACTATTCTTTCTTTCTAAATATTCTTTTTTCTTTACAACTAATCTTTCTTTCTTTCTTTCTTTCTTTCTTTCTTTCTTTCTTTCTACCTAATCCTTTCTTTCTTTCTACCTAATCCTTTCTTTCTTTCTACCTAATATTTCTTTCTTTCCAACTAATATTTCTTTCTTTCTACCTAATCTTTCTTTCTTTCTTTCTCTTTCTTTCTTTCTTTCTTTCTTTCTTTCTTTCTTTCTTTCTTTCTTTCTTTCTTTCTTTCTTTCTTTCTTTCAACCTAATCATTTTCTTTCTTTCTATCTATTCTTGTTTTTCTAACTAATCCATCTATCAAACTTCAAACTACTTTAAACTTCTTCAAACTCTCTGGTCCGGTTTTCTCAAGCCAACTTAAAGCTTGTCTCATCAAACTTTTTATCTAGTTATATTATATTCTTCTTAACTTCTAATTCAAAACTCCCACACTTTTGAACAGTAGAGTAACGGTTAGTCTAAATGTAACTACTAACTATATTGTAACTTTGAAGTTATGAATTTACTTCGATGAATAAAATAATTGTTTGTGGCACAAAAACAATGATTGATTGATAGAAGGATTTCTGAAGGATCATGTGACTCTGAAGACTCAATTCAGCTTTGATCACTTGAAATTATATTTTAATATATATTCAAATATGTATCTTAAATGGTAAAAATATTCCACAACAATATTACTGTTTTTATTGTAATTTTGATGAAATAAAATGCAGCATTCGTGATCAGAAGAGACTACTTTAAAAACATTTGAATTATAGTGTCTATAATGATCCCACCTGTGGAGTCGCAGAACCTCCAGTCAGGGTTCGTTCCCTCGGTCAGCGCGGGCAGAGCGCCTCTCTGTCGGACGGCACGCGTCGGCATCGAGCGCTTTATGCTTCGTTTCTTTGCCAGATCAACCTTCGAACGTAAAACGCTGGAGTCCAGCAGAGGAGCTGCCGACTGATCATGCAAAAATATACACAGATGCACATTGAGACAGGCGCAAAAGGAGCACTTTATGCAATACAATACAATAATATATATATTTATACACAGAGATATTATAATGATGTATTATGCATTGCAATATATAATAAAGAAAAAAGCGAGCTGAAATGGAAATGCACCTCAAGAACAGGTAGCACCCGTGACTCCTCCTCATCCGGGACGTCTGCCCTGTCTGAGTCAGTAGATCTGTTTCTCTGTCTAACCCGAGTCAGCCTCTGTAGAGCATGACTGATTCTGCTCTCTGTGCCAAGTCTGAACAGATGAAAACACATGAAAACATTACCCTACACTGAGAGAATTAAACTTTGATGCATTACATGACCACTAGGAGACAGTCTGAGCAAAACTGACATCCATATAAAACTTCAGACATGAATGTTGAGTGAATATACGCTATACTGTTCAAAAGTTCTTGTGATCCCTAACTCTAACCTTCCACCCCCTGATCCCTAACCCCACCCCTAATCCTACCCATATCCGCCCCCTGATCCCTAACCCCACCCCTAATCCTACCCATCTCCGCCCCTGATCCCTAAGCCCACCCCTAATCCTACCCATCTCCGCCCCCTAATCACTAACCCCACCCCTAATCCTACCCATCTCCGCCCCTGATCCCTAACCACCCCTAATCCTACCCATCTCCGCCCCCTAATCACTAACCCCACCCCTAATCCTACCCATCTCCGCCCCTGATCCCTAACCCCACCCCTAATCCTACCCATATTCGCCCCCTGATCACTAACCCCACCCCTAATCCTACCCAACTTCACCCCCTGATCCATAAGCCCACCCCTAACCGACCCATCTCCGCCCCCTGATCCCTAACCCGACCCATCTCCGTCCCCTGATCCCAAATCCACCCCTAATCCTACCCATCTTCACCCCCTGATCCATAACCCCACCCCTAATCCTACCCATCTCCGCCCCCTGATCCCTAACCCCACCCCTAATCCTACCCATCTCCGCCCCTGATCCCTAACCCCACCCCTAATCCTACCCATATTCGCCCCCTGATCACTAACCCCACCCCTAATCCTACCCAACTTCACCCCCTGATCCATAAGCCCACCCCTAACCCGACCCATCTCCGCCCCCTGATCCCTAACCCGACCCATCTCCGTCCCCTGATCCCAAATCCACCCCTAATCCTACCCATCTTCACCCCCTGATCCATAACCCCACCCCTAATCCTACCCATCTCCGCCCCTGATCCCTAACCCCACCCCTAATCCTACCCATATTCGCCCCCTGATCACTAACCCCACCCCTAATCCTACCCAACTTCACCCCCTTATCCATAAGCCCACCCCTAACCCGACCCATCTCCCCCCTGATCCCTAACCCGACCCATCTCCGTCCCCTGATCCCAAATCCACCCCTAATCCTACCCATCTTCACCCCCTGATCCATAACCCCACCCCTAATCTTACCCATCTGCACCCCCTGATCCCTAACCCCACCCCTAAACCTACCCATCTCCACCCCCTGATCCCTAACCCCACCCCTAATCCTACCCATCTCCGCCCCCTGATCCCTAACCCCACCCATCTCCGTCCCCTGTTCCCTAACCCCACCCCTAATCCTACCAATCTCCACCCCCTGATCCCTAACCCCACCCCTAATCCTACCCATCTCCGCCCCCTGATCCCTAACCCCACCCATCTCCGTCCCCTGTTCCCTAACCCCACCATCTCCGTCCCTGTTCCCTAACCCCACCCCTAATCCTACCCAATCTCCACCCCCTGATCACTAACCCCACCCCTAATCCTACCCATCTCCGCCCCCTGATCCCTAACCCCACCCCTAATCCTACCAATCTCCACCCCCTGATCCCTAACCCCACCCCTAATCCTACCAATCTCCACCCCTTAGTTCTGGATCCAACTCCGCCCCCTGGATCTTGTGTACTGCAATGTACACTGTTTTGAGAACAGCTCAGACACGAAAATCTCATTGCTTTGCATTTTAGTTATGTCACCAAAACTGCTCTGATGCTGAAAGAGTGCATATGATACATTCAGTTTTCCGTCCTCAGATGTTCAAAGACAACTGAAGGTTTGTTGCTGCCGTGAACATGATGATTCGAGTCATTTCTTACCCATCAACATCGTCGTTGTTTTCACTTTGTTCATCGGTTTCCCCGATCAGATTCTCAGTGTCCGGTTCCGCAACTCCATCTTCCTCGGGTTCACAGTCCTTCAGCTGACCCTGAGAGCAAAGAAAGACGGAAAAACTTCAGTACTCAGATTACAGAAAAGTCCCTAAATGGTCACCTGACCGGTGCAGTTTTTTGAAATTGCAACACAATACAAAGTTAAATCACATTGTAGGACAATCAACCAAAAGCTTCATGACAATCAAACGTACGATTAAAGAAGAATATCAGTGACCAAAATAAGGTTAAAACAAAACACTTACTAAAATATAACAATTTTATTTATGTGCATGTTATGTGATTATTGAACCTTTGTTGGTGTTGTTTCATTGCATGAACCTTTGATTATGTTGTTAAATTATTGAAATATAATTTCAGCAGAGATCAGCTGACAAAAAAAATGTTTAGATGACAAATTTGCTTTCGTTCGTTTTCATAATATCTTATTATGGCATGACACATTCCTGCAAACAGGCCACTACAACGAAACTGAGCAGCAAAACAATTGTAGTTCTCAGTGTTATGACAGATGACATTTCAACAAGTGGCAAGAAATTACAAATACTGAAAATATATTGTGGCAAATAAAAGAATAGAATTTTTTTTAATTAGACAATGCAAAATAATACGATTTCACAACAAGTAAAAGTCTATCTATCTATCTATCTATCTATCTATCTATCTATCTATCTATCTATCTATCTATCTATCTATCTATCTATCTATCTATCTATCTATCTATCTATCAGAAAATTCTCAATTCACATTCTATTGACAAGAATTACGAAAAGATAACCAATCATTGTGGCATCATGCAAAAGTGATTGTTTCCAATGAAAAACTCACACTCTCTCACACACACAGACACACAAATGACAATTCGAGCATAAATGGTTTAATGAGCTGGCATGGTCACAAGGGCGACACTGTCCTTTACAAACACAGCACACACACACACACAAACTCATCCAGACTTGTTTTTGAACACAGAACAGATATTTTGCATTTCACATCACTCCGCTCAAAAGATGTCGGCGTACAAGAATTGTTTCTAGGAAACAAAACACTTCCTCATAAACACTCTGTGACACTGAGCAAATGTCCATCAGGAGACGATCCAGTATATATACAGTAAAAATGACTTCTGGAGGACTATATCAGAATAAACAGAACCGATTCAATTCTCTTCTATATTATTGACACAGAGTTGGAGGCTCTTAAGGTTCTTAACAAAAATGTGCATGTAAGAACAAACAAGGTCAATGTGCAGCTTTAGTTTGTGTAATACTCACTAGGGAGAGGACTACATTTCTACTCTACTGTTCCGGGAACACCTCTAGGGTCGTCCCGTGATATTTTACTAACAATCCATGAGTCATGCAGCAACTAGTGACCTAAAACACACCGTCAAAACCTCACACACAAACATTAAAAGACACATATATAGCCATCCACTATCATACTGTAAAACCTGATGAGTTAGTTCAACTCAAACCGTTTGAGGAAACCGATTAAGTTTATTGACTTAAAAAAATATTTAATTTGTTTCCAAGTAACTCAATAACGTATTGTTAAGATGTTAAGACTTGGGTAAATAAAGTTAATAGTACTAATTAGTTACTATAACTTAAATCTATGTAGTACACTGTAAACCCGAATAAGTTGGCAGAACTCAAATCACTTTTAATAATATAAACTTAGTTAGTTTTAAAAGCTAATCTGTTGATGTAGAAACAGTATGTTATAAGCACTTACAAGCACAGAAGCACTTGCTGTATGAACATAATAATATAAAGGGATAATTTGCTCTCAAATCAAGCTGAATGCACCACTTGTCACCATGATGGTAACTATCCTAAAGCCAACATTAACAGAAATTCTTCTAAATTAGCATAACAAAACATTAATCACTACTAAATCTCACACTTAACATTAATCTTACACCAAAAAAAACTTTATATTGCACTTAATTCTAGCATTTACACTCTCTTTCAAGTGCCATCGGCAAAGCAAGCTGCAAATAGTTATCCCAGCCGTTTCAGTTAAATTTAAGTTCGTCTAAATTAAAATAAATAATTTCATAAAACTCAAAACAATGAAACAGTTCAGTTTACTTAAAATATATCGGTTCTGTGAACTTGAAAGAAAAAGAAAGTGCTAAATACTCATAAAAATTAATTTAACTGAACTAATTCGTTGAATTTAAGTTTGTCCAACTCAAACCAATTAATTATTTTGACCGTTAGGGTTTACATACAATACTGTTGAAAAGTGTGGGGTCAGATAGATTTAAATTTATTTATTTTTATTGAAAGAAATTCATATTTTTATTCAGCAAGAACGCATCACATCGAAAGTGGTCGAAAGTGAGAGTAAAGATATTTATAATTTTATAAGATTTATATCAAAAAAGCTGTTCTTCTTTTGAACTTTATATTTCTATTCAGTTTCCGCACAAATATAAAGCAGCACAGCCATTTTCAACATTAGTAAGACATGTTTCTAAAGCATCAAATCATCATGTTAGAATGATTTCTGAAGGATCATGTGACACTGAAGACTGGAGTAATGATGCTGAAAATTCAGCTTTGATCACAGGAATAAATTACAATTTACAATATATTCAAATAGAAAACAGTTCTTTCAAATTGTACAATTTTTACTGATTTTACTGTATTTTTAATCAAATAAACTCAGTCTTGGTGAGCAAATTTCTTTTTTCAATAGCATTCACAAATCATATCAACCCAAAACTTTTGAACAGTCCACCTAAAACCTCTCTATGGGTGCCAAATTAAGGTGGTCCAATTTAATTTGAGAGTTTTGGGTGGATCATGACTGACAGAGAGGCACATAGAGAAACAGAAGAGCATGAGAGGATGAGCAAATATAATACAAGTGAGTAAAAACAAGCCTAGACAGCTAAAATATTCCAGGACTCCTTACATCCTGTTTAACAGTCTTCAAGTGAACACTCTGACTCATGCATGTGTGCTGACAGGAGTCGTAATCAGATTGTAAGAATTAATAATAATAATAATCAAAACCAATTAAATTCATTTAAAGTCCCCATGAAATCAAAATGTAAGTATTTTTTTTTCTTTTAGAGCGGATCATGTGATCACATGTTAGCTTTAAGTAGCTAGTTTGCTCCAAAACAATGACGAAATTCACATTTAGAAGATATAAGAGTTCAAAACTTAGTCTCTCACTTCTGCCAATATGGATCAATGATTTTGAGGACATCACTCTGCACTTCAACTTCTCATCAGGTTTTCTGTCCAATCAAATGCTCTCTAGAATCTGAAGCTCCGCCCCCTACATTATAAATAGACGCTGAAGCTGTTGCTGAAATCACGTTTATTATTTTCTACACGGTGAATGGCACAGTGTGCTCAATAGGGGACAGGGAACGATTCAGACAGTGTTCCATCGAGGCGAATGAAGTCCGGTTTCGTGTTACTCTCCGGTCCAGAGACACGATAGACAAAATGGATCATGTGATCGCGTCGACTCAGACCAGAAAACATATTGGGGACCCATTTGAATTCAACCACTGAGTGTTGTATTTTAAAGTGATATGAAGGAGATTAAGAGGAGAAACGGTTAGACAAAAACAAATCTTTTCCTGAGTCAATTTGTTCATTTTGTTCATTGAATGAACCAAATGACACGAAAAAAGATTCATTCATTTTGATAAACGAGTTTGAACAGGAGAGTCACGAACGAGCATCACAGAACAGAGCAAGGCGAGCATTTGAGCTTATAAAACGTAAACTTTGTTATTTATTTATGTCATCCAAGATGTCCACGTCTTTCTTTCTTCAGTCGAAAAGAAATTAAGGTTTTTGATGAAAACATTCCAGGATTTTCTCCATATAATGGACTTCAATGGGAACCAAACGGTTCAAGATCTAAATGAGAGTTTCAGTGCAGCTTCAAAGGACTTTAAACGATTCCAGACGATGAATAAGGGCCTTATCAAGGACCCTTCGAGTCATCACTCGAAAAAAGATTTATTCATTTTGATGAACGAGTTCAAACAAGAGAGTCACGAACGCGCATCACAGAACAGAGCAAGGCGAGCATTTGAGGTTATAAAACTTAAACTTTTTTATTTATTTTATAAATGACCGATCGTTTCGCTAGTTAAGAGCCTTATTCATCGTCTGGTGTCGTTTAAAGCCCTTTAAAGCTGCACTGAAACTGTCTTTTGGACCTTGAACCGTTTGGTTCCCAATGAAGTCCATTATGGACAAAATCCTGGAATGTTTTCATCAAAAACCTTAATTTCTTTTCGACTGAAGAAAGAAAGACATGGACATGTTGGATGACATGGGGGTGAGGGAATTATCAGCAAAAGTTTTTTTTTAAAAGTGAGGTCCAACCTTTCACAAAGAAAATCGCAACAACGACTTTCCAAATAACTTTGAGCATGCAGTATGTTTTGGAACAGACTCAGTGTATTAAAGAAAACACAATACCTTAAAATGGTCTGATAAAGTGAGAACGAGAGAGAGAGAGAAAGCAGAGTACACACACTCTTACATTATTTGAATTTGACGTAGTCGTGCGCTTGCGCAGGGAAAAACGCTGCCGGCTTTGCTGAGACAGATTCCGAAGGGACTGTCGACCACGAGAAGCAAAACTTCTCAGCGGTGAGACGGCCCTCTCAAACCGTCCCACTCGCTCTTCGTCCTCCTCCTCTTCGTCTATTACTCCCTCCCTCTCCAGAGTGCCTGAAACCAACTCCACCGCCTCCTGTAACGAGCGGCGCATGTTGCCCATCCAACCCGACACTTGTGTCTGCACCTCGGAGAGTTTCTCACCCAGGAACTGCATCTTGATTTACCCTGTGTTAGGAAAGTCTTGTCTCTGGTGGTACCGTGACTCATTCAGTGGGTTTTTGGGAATAAATCCCAGATGTGAAGTCTAGGGGGCGTTATAGCCAAAATACACTGGGATGTCTGTAGGCATCTTGACCTGTAAACCAGTTTCTGAGTTTATGCCGATCACAGATCATCAATCCTTGACGCTCTTCCGGCACTTTCCACCTCGGAGCACGTGTAACGTGTCAATCCATTTTGCGGTCGATCTCCTGTCAAATCTTCCTGTTTGGATGCAGTAGAAATACAAATCAAGGAATAAATATCTTCAGACATCCAATCTTGAACTGCACTTGAATTCATGTGCACTGCTCCGGCAAGCCCACCTCTTATACCCGTCCCGCTGCAGGTACGAACAGGTACCGGAAACAGGCACAGCCCTCAAATAAGCGACAACATCCCAGCTCGGAGAAACAGAGAGAAAGGGGGAAGGGACGAAAGCTCGAGGAAAATCACGTGTCACTGACTGCATTTGTAAATAATAAAATGTAGAAGGACACAGAGAGAGAAAACAGGGAAGAGTTTAATGTGGGAACCGTCCTGTACCTGTGCACTTTGGGAGAGAAATGCTACACCACAACGCTCTTATGCAAACTACTGCTGAATCAGGTGCTTTGTACTTCGCTGTGCATTAGTTTGACTATTTGCCATGACTAACAGCCTGTGTGTGTGTGTCTTATTTGAGCCATAGCTTGCGTGTGCATTGCATAGTGCAAAACAGTCACTCTGTGAGGAGAAGAAACTTTGTAGTAGCCATTTATAATAAGTATAAAATTCAATTGATTCATACGGAGGCGTATTGCATTCACAAAAAAAAAAAATTGCTGTTTTTCTGAATTAATGAGTTAATTTTTCATGAGGAAAAAAAAATTTGCTCTGTTTTTCTGAATTAATGAGTTAATTTTTCATGAGGAAAAAAAGTTTTCTTTTCTCACGAAAAATTAACTCATTAATTCAGAAAAACAGAGCAAAAACTTTTTTTGATCGTTTTCATCTGGAATCTTTTAAAGCCCAACAGTTGAACAGTTTTCAGTTTGCACTGAAACTCATTTGGATCTTGAACCGTTTGGTTCCCATTGAAGTCCATTATATGGAGAAAATCCTGGAATGTTTACATCAAAAACCTTAATTTCTTTTCCACTGAAGAAAGGAAGACATGGATATCTTGGATGACATGGGGGTAAGTAAATTATCAGCAAAAGTTTTTTTTTTTTTTAACTGAACTACTCCTTTAAGAGGTGGAAAGTTAACATTATAGTTACTATAATCACAGTGAATTAATATTACCTCTCAAGCCAACATTCAGGTGGATGCTGAATTAAAAAAAAAAATTATTATTAAAAAGTTAACAAGAGTACATAAACCAAAGGAGGAGGAGGAGGTGATATGTCAAAAATGCTATTCATGCACACATTTCCTTTCTCCTTTTCCTTTGCGTTTTTCACATAGGCCTACAGACAACGTTTTCAAAGCAATCACACATCTGCAAAAACAACTGAACTGCTACTATTCTGCTGTCAGGCCGACTTAGACAGTCGATAGAAAATTCCACAGGCCTGACTCAAAGACAAGTGTTGTGTAAGAATAAACACATCTATACCCCCATACACACACACACAAAACCATCTACTGCAGTGACATCACTCTATGCCGTCAAACAACGCCACTGGGAAATTCCAACATGACAATCGATGGAAACCAAGGCCCTGCCCTGAAGACACTGGTCAAGAAGAACAGCAGCACAACAACACGGCTACTTGCCCTGCCGGAAGGTCACAGATTATGTTTGCATCTCTAATAAAATCATGCGATTTTATATATGTACTATTGATGAAAGCAAGAACTTTTTGGCTTTGCGTGCCATAGTGTCCTGTAATTAAGATACAATGCAAAGTTGTGCAAATCCAGGTGCTATCTTTTCATCTGGAGCACTACTTCCACGCCAACACACAAATACATAACACATTATGTGTCCTCATATTAGGTTATGCATTAATACATTTTCAAGGATTCATGCACCCGTAACCAAGACCAAGTTGAATACTAATGCTAACAGTTAAAAAAAAGTTTATCTTACTGTTACATTGTTAAGCAGCCATCCGAAAACAAAATCTACTATAATATAGCATTTTAGTATCACATTATATTGATTTGTATTTTGCTAGCAAATCCTTTTAAATGATCTTTGAATGCCTATGAATCACGGCAGGTGTTGTTTGCACACAAAAACATAATTATTTACAGCAGGCGTTCACAAAACAACGCGCATGCGTAGTGGTGCTCTCATGAACGGTCGCTCATTTTGTAAATAAAGCTAACTTATATAATTTGTGTTTTTGCGCAAACAAAGCACTCGCGTCGCTTCATAAACACATGAACACAGTCACATAGATTAATTTAATTATGTTTTACTACCTTGAGCTGGAGCTGGAAAGTGGTAGTTCATTTTTGGGCTTTAACTGCTAAAGCTAACCTATGAAGCTAACATGAAGCTAACAAGCCTGCTTTGAACTACTGAAAGCCAAAAGGGACAAAATTAAGTCTATTAACAGGTTAGTCGGGCCTATTTAGTATTTGTTCTATCTGTAAACATTTTCGTCATAAAAAGTAATTGATGTAATTTTTCAAAATGTATAAAGTAAAACAAATACTTCTGAACTGTGATTGCATCAGCCGTGTTTGAAATGCAGATAAACACTGTGATGCATATTCTATAGCCTACATTTCCTTTCAACTATCACTCTTAGACTAATGGACACAATGAGTTTTATTGATAATGTAAAAAATACATAAAAAAAATATAACTTGGATGTTAAAGTCATTTCAACTTCATTGTTTATAAAAACACTTTATAATAACTTATTCATCATATACCTGTGCTTATATTTTTGTATTACATTATCTTATATTATATTAAGATGTGACTTGGATTACAATTACTATTAATAATAATAATAATAATAATAAATTTAAAGATTTTGACTTTTTAAACTTTGATACTTTATATTACATTATTTTATATTAGAAAATATTGTTTAACATTTTTTTATTATATATTTTCTATAAAAAAATAGTCAATTTCTTTTTGACTGAAGAAAGAAAGACATGGACATCTTGGATGACATGGGGGTGAGTAAATTATCAGCAAAAGTTTTTTTTAAAAAGCGAACTACTCCACTTTAGAGAGTTCTTACCTCATAAAAGAACACCATTTTACATGATAAAATCAATGTAATGTAAAGTCCCTTATTAAAACATATATCACAATATTAATAAATAAACAATATTCATATATTGAATTAACCCTGGCCTCACCTCATCAGCTTGTGTGTCTAGCTCAGATACAGGAGGTGTGTGTTCACAGTTCTCAGGCTCAGATCCCATCAGCTCCTCCACACTCCCCCGTTCTCCACATGGCTCCTGGGATCCGGGATCGTTGGACGTCGGTTCTGGCTGGAGGTTCTGCTCAGGTTCTCTGGATGGAGATGGTGTCGAGGAACGTCTCGCTCCGGTTCCCCATCTTCGTGGTTTCACCGAGAAGTCGTCGTAAAGCACTTCGTGGAGTTGAGGAGAGGCCGAGGAGACGAGAGTCTGAGACGCGTCAAGAACTTCCTCTGGACGAATCTCCGGTGATCTACTCCTCTCCATCTCCTCGTTCTCTCTTTCCTGACGCAGCTTCTCTTCTTCTTTCTTCAGTCGCTCTTTCTCTCTCTCTCTTTCCTGCCTCAGTCTTTCTTCTTCCATTCTTTTTCTTTCCTCAATTTCTCTCTCTTTTTGAATTCTCTCCATTTCTCGTTCTTTTCTCAATTTTTCTTCTTCTTTCTGTCTCTCCATCTCCTGGAGTCTTTGTCTCTCTTCTTCCATTTCTCTCTCTTTCTTTAACCGCTCTTCTTTTTCCAGTCTCAGTCTTTCCTCTTCTTTCTGTCTCTCCATCTCCTGGGCTCTTTGTCTCTCTTCTTCCATTTCTTTTTCTTTCTTTACTCTCTCCATTTCTCGTTCTTTTCTCAGTCTTTCTTCTTCTTTCTGTCTCTCCATCTCCTGGAGTCTTCGTCTCTCTTCATCCATCTCTTTTTCTTTTTTCAGTCTCTCTTTTTCTCGCTCTTGTCTCAATTTTTCCTCCTCTTTCAGTCTTTCTTCTTCCATTTCTTTTTCTTTCTTTATTCTCTCCATTTCTCGTTCTTTTCTCAGTCTTTCTTCTTCTTTCTGTCTCTCCATCTCCTGGACTCTTCGTCTCTCTTCTTCCATCTCTTTTGCTTTCTTTATTCTCTCCATTTCTCGTTCTTTTCTCATTCTTTCCTCTTCTTTCTGTCTCTCCATCTCCTGAATTCTTCTCCTCTCTTCTTCCATTTCTTTTTCTTTTCTTATTCTCTCCATTTCTTGCTCTTTTCTCAGTCTTTCCTCTTCTTTCTGTCTCTCCATCTCCTGAACTCTTCGTCTCTCTTCTTCCATCTCTTTTTCTTTTTTCAGTCTCTCTTTTTCTCGTTCTTGTCTCAACCTTTCCTCCTCTTTCAGTCTCTCTTCTTCCATCTCTTTTTCTTTCTTCAGTCTCTCCTTTTCTCGCTCTTGTCTCAATCTTTCCTCCTCTTTCAGTCTCTCTTCTTCCATTTCTTTTTCTTTCCGTATTCTCTCCATTTCTCGTTCTTTTCTCAGTCTTTCCTCTTCTTTCTGTCTCTCCATCTCATTAATTCTTCGTCTCTCTTCTTCCATCTCTTTTTCTTTTTTCAGTCTCTCTTTTTCTCGTTCTTGTCTCAATCTTTCCTCCTCTTTCAGTCTCTCTTCTTCCATCTCTTTTTCTTTCCTTATTCTCTCCATTTCTCGTTCTTTTCTCAGTTTTTCTTCTTCTTTCTGTCTCTCCATCTCCTGAACTCTCTGTCTCTCTTCTTCCAGTTCTCTCTCTTTCTTTAGTTTCTCCTGTCTCAGTCGTTCCTCCTCTCTCTGTCTCTCTTCTTCTTCTTCAGTCCTCCTTTTCTCCTCTTCAACCTGCTTCTCTCTTTCTAATCTCTCCTGCTCTTGTTGTCTCTCCTTCTCCTTTTCGGCCTGCCTCCTCCTCTCCTCCTCTTTTCTTTCTTCTTCAATTTTTCTCTTCCATTCTTCCTCTTGCTTTCTCCTTTCATCCATCTGCTTTTGCTTCTCCTCTTGTTGTTTTCTCTCTTCCTCTTGCTGTCTCTCGATTTCTTTAGCCTTCCTCTCCTCCTCCAAAAGTCTTCCCATTTCCTCCTGCTTCTGTCGTTCTTTCTCTAACTGCTGATCTTTTCTCTGTTTTTCTTCCTCTTCCTTTAGCTTTTTCTCCGCATCTATGCTCATCCTAACCCTTTGGTAAACGGGAACAGCGACATAGTTCTCCTCGTCCTCTTCATCGTCTTCCTCTTCTTCTGCGTTCTCCACACTAGCAGCAGAGTTCTTGACTTCTGGTGTATTTGGTGGTTTGTCAACAGGAACTTTCTCCGTTTCTCTTTCAGATGATCTCTCATTCGTCTTCTCATATGGTGGACTGCAAATTGAAGAGTTTGGAAATATGTTACAGCTTTGAAAGTGAGGCCAGAAACATATAAACACAGATCCTTGACGTTCCTGCTAACATTTTCATTGGCCACACCACAAAATAATGATCCATTTTTTATCTTTCGCTATACATTCACTGATAAAAATGATTCTGTGGTGACAAAAACAAATAAAATTTTTTACCTGAATAAGTTAGTTCAGGCAAGAATTTAAAAAACAAAGTAGCCTAAATTCTATAATAATACTCAATTTTAGCGTGTAGAAATTAAAGTAAATATCAACGTTATAAAATTAAGTAAAAACTATCTGATGTTCCCATAATGCAGTGGGGCATGAATAATTAATCAGGTTGCATGTCTGTATTTATCATTGTTTTATGTTTTATCATTGCTTTTGTTGTTAGGTTTAGTAACTTGCTGTTTTGTGACATCTGGAGTTTAACTCAAAATGACAAATTAATACTGAAAAATGAACGAATGTTACCGTTATTGTGTATTTTGTACCAAGTATTAAGGTCTCTGTGTTCAGCCGCATACCACATTACTTCTATATGTTGTCTACACAATATCTACTGTATTATTTACTGAGATGTACTAAGAAAAGCATACACTTTCAAAAGCATGGCTTCATTTAGTGGTATCCTGTTTTGGGTAAAATGTATTTCAAACTAAATTTAAAATAAGTAAAAATTACTCAACAAACTTTACCTGGCAAATTTAGTTAAGTAGATTTTACTTAAATCCATATGTGACATTTACTTAAAAACATCTGTGTGCAAAAACGTGCAAAAGAAAAATTACTTATTGTTGTTTCCAAAGTAGGAATTTATATATTTATTATTAAATGTTATTTTTTCTTCACAAAATATTTTTAAAAAATTGGGAAAAGTGGGAAATTTCAAACAGCATAAATTCAGAAACACACTTTTGCAGTTAAATGATAAAATATTACAGATTGTAATATTACAGTTAAAATGTTTACAGATCGGTTTATAGTTTTTTTTTAAACACATTATTGCTGTGGTAGTCAGCTAGATAACAACGTAGAAAACATCAGTAAACATCACAGAAAACCAAACGTTTGAGTTTGCAAAAGACCTGCATGATAATTGATTATGGACACATTGTCTATCAGAAAAATGTTTATTTTAGTGTTTTACAAAACCTAAATGTTAGTGTCACGTTTAGGTCTTGGATCTGTTTATTTCTGTTTATTTTCCCTTTCCCTTTTTTCATAAACAAAAAGTAGGAAGTATGTGAAACAAAATATGGAAATATTATTGAAAAAATGTAAATTGACATGCGATACACTAGGCTGCTGGTGCAAGAGTTTACATACAAATTTGATAATTACAAAAAAAAAATGTATACCGTCACATACCAATCATGTGTTTATGCGTATACACGTACACGCGTAATCACGTACACATACTAGTGTAGAGCGAAATACATATAACATCTTGATTGTTTGTATCATTGTAAAATCCTAAACGACTGTATTAGCGCCTATATAACTCTGTTTAAACTTTAAGGCATACAGATATTAAGATAACATTGTGATCTAAGTAAATCTGACTTGATTAGTCATGCTTTAGAAAAAAGGGTTCTATATATGTAGCATAGGGTTCTTTACTCAACTCCAAAGGGCATTTTATGCTAAAAAAAGGTTCAATAATGACAAGAAAGAACCCTTTTGGCACAAAGGTTCTTTAAAGGCTATTATTCATTCATATATTACATTACCTGCAACATTTGTAGTTGTCATGAAATTATTGTTTATTAAACTGTTGTAGTAACTTAATATCACATTTTAATCATGCAGATTTTTGGAGGATAAAAACTGAAATGGCACTCTTCGTCTGATATTGATTAATTACATTTTTAACATGCATTCGCCAGATCTCATCCAACTTGCGTGTTCTGAGCACATTGTCGAAACGTTATCACGATTTACGCTACATCTTTATGATGAGTTTCGATAAAGACATTAGAGATGCCTAGCCGATCCGATTACATCTTAAGCATTGAGCTCTCTGTTGCGAAATCATAGAACGGGAGGTAGGAATCATTGTGTGTTAGTTATGCGTGGAGTGTTCGCCATTATTGTATTTTTGTTTTTATTTAGTGTAGTTTAATTAAAGGAGAACTCCGGCGAACAATGAACCTTTGGTCTATTAAACATCGGTGCATAGTCAATCGTTCTGTGAGTTTTGTTTTCATGATAATCGAATGTAAAGAGTTTTATCTCTAAAAACTGTTTAGCGTATAATGCTAGTAATGGGGGCATTGACTAAGTAAAAAGAAATCGCTAGTTTATACTACTAACAAGGCTCAAAATATCCCCACACTAACGCAGTAACATAATGAGGGTCTGTACATGCAAAACGAAGCATTGAGAACTTTGTAAGTGTACAGACCGTTTAATAAGAAGATACTTTATGAAGACAGTTCACTTCGCGTATACAGACAGGAGCCATCTCGATAAGTCAAACCACGAACGTCGTGCTGAGTGATCTGAACTCTATGAAGTTCAGCGAACTTCTGAACTGTATGAACGGCATTTGGGGATCGACTTATCGAGACTATTTTTTTTAAGATGGCTCCTGCCTGTATACGCGAAGTGAACTGTCTTCATAAAGTATCTTCTTATTAAACGGTCTGTACACTTACAAAGTTCCCAATGCTTCGTTTTGCATGTACGGACCCTCGTTATGTTACTGTGTTAGTGTGGGGCTATTTTGAGCCTTGTTAGTGGTATAAACTAGCGATTTCTTTTTACTTAGTCAATGCCCCCATTACTAGCATTATACGCTAAACAGTTTTTAGAGATAAAACTCTTTACATCCGATTATCATGAAAACAAAACTCACAGAACAATTGACTAGGTACCGATGTTTTATTAGACCAAAGGTTCATTGTTCGCCGGAGTTCTCCTTTAAGGCGGCGTTATTCCGCTGAAGAATTCGGTTTTCTTTCTACATTTTCCTTTTGTGGCAGTTAGTTTAGCGGGTATTCGTAAAATTAGATATCAGTTATGTTTCGCTTATTTCATTAATTTGGCGACACTCTTGTTTTTCCTCTCTCGTGTATTTTATTTATTTTTTTCTTCTAACGAATTTGTTATATAATTTAAGTGAACATGTTTAAGCCATTCATTGAAAGAGAATAAACGTTTCCCTTAACGTTTAAATGATGTTTTCTGGTTGTCTTTTCTGCATCCACACACAGCAACAGTGTCTCACATAAATGTTATGTAATCATCCCCTTTTACATCTTTAAACACGTAACATTTAGTGGCGAGGATCATTCACATGCATTGCATTTTAGGGGTTCCAAATACGTACGTAGCGCTTTAGAACCTTTTAAAGGGGAAATGAAGCGGTGAATCAAGTTTACATGATTTACAAGATGGATTACCAATATAATCAACAATTATATAAGAAACATTACAAATGTAAACATTTAGAAGAAAAAAAGAAAAAACTTTGTATCTTTCGCCGCCAGGGCGCCGCCATTGTGCAGGTGACGTCACGGGGTTGGTTGGCTCAAGTTTAACAGGCTCTGGGCATTGAAAATCGCGACATCAAACTGTGTTTATACCAGTGTTTTGACCGCGAACGACTAATGTTAGGTACAGATATTAGACAAAAAGACGACGTCTCATGTTATATGTTGACAAACTGCACATAGAAACATTGTTCGCGATGTCTGCCGTCAGATATTCCCGTCTCGTCAACACCATAAGTTACGTTGCTGTGTAGAACAGTCAGTGGTGGTTTGGGGCGGAGAGCGGGTTTGCAACGCTAACTTACCAGGTGTCAGTGTGGCTGTTGTCCTGCGATGCCCTCCGTGTCAGAGTCCACCTGTTGTCAAGAGGTTGATCTTGAGCATGTGTTGCGTGGTCAATTCTGCATCACCGGCGCGCACGTTTACCATGCTGTGCCAGGAGTTAGACGTGTGGAAGCGGCGATGCTTTCCCTGAAGGATGTCAGAGCGGAGACACTTTTTCCTAGTATATGTAGGCTGTAGCTAACGTTACTAGCACTACCAGTGCGAAAATATGGACGTTTCATTTCTCCTTTAACAAATACGTGCTAACTTACATGTTATTGACGACGAGACGGGAATATCTGATGGCAGACATCGCGAACAATGTTTCTATGTGCAGTTTGTCAACATATAACATGAGACGTCGTCTTTTTGTCTAATATCTGTACCTAACATTAGTCGTTCGCGGTCAAAACACTGGTGTAAACACAGTTTGATGTCGCGATTTTCAATTCCCAGAGCCTGTTAAACTTGAGCCAACCAACCCCGTGACGTCACCTGCACAATGGCGGCGCCCTGGCGGCGAAAGATACGAAGTTTTTTCTTTTTTTCTTCTAAATGTTTACATTTGTAATGTTCCTTATATAATTGTTGATTACATTGGTAATCCATCTTGTAAATCATGTAAACTTGATTCACTGCTTCATTTCCCCTTTAAGGTTCTATATAGAACCTTTTCTTCTAAGAGTGAGGCAAGACATAAAATTTGATGAGCAAGATCAACTGACAGTTCAACTGAGCCTCCTTGCATAGAGAAAGTGTTGTGCTTAGGAAACACAGATATTATCATGAGGGTCAAAAGAAGAAATGCACTAACCTTTTAGGAGCACCAGTGGACGGCAAGCTCAGATTCTGGATTCTCTGTTTAATGTCGATAGATATTTCAGCAGGTGTGACGTCTCTTTTGTTTATTTGAGAGACTGCAGATCGATCGAAGAGGAGGCTGATCCGTCTTTTGATGCTGCATCCCGCCTCTTCGTTCTCCACCGGAGACTCAGACACTGCTGAAGGAGAAAGTGGTGGCTCCTCTTTCTCCGTCTCTCTCCCGACAGTATCGGGCTGAGGCGGTGACTGGAACTTGGAGGTCAGATCCGCGGAGAGACGGTTTCGAGCTGGCCAGAGTCGTGAAGGCACTTTGACGTCTGGATCAGATCCTTGTTCCTTCTTTTGATTCTCCCGAGAACCCAAGGATTTTGCTCTGCTCCTGGGCTGAACGTTCTTTATATCTTCAGTGGGTACATCAAGCTTTGAGTTTGGACCGGTTTGGTCATTAGTACTCTTAGTAGGTTCTGGTTTAGGCTTAGCCTGTAAGTCAGGTTTTGGGCTGAGCGGGACGGGTTTATGAGCTGCGCTTCGATCAGACCCATTTAAGTCTGATGTTTCCAGAGTGTCTGTGGTATTCAGAAATGTTTCAGAAGAGGCGGCTCGATGGAGCGGTCTGGTGAAGTTGGTTTTGGGGGCCCGGATCGAGCGGACGGTTGCATTCCTTTGCAGGGAAAATGGTTTGGCTGTGAGGAGGGGTTTCGGGTTCAACGCTGGCTTCTCTGTGTCTCCTGGGACTGAAACTGAAGGTTTGTCTGGGTTAATGAGCGGTTGGCCCATTTCCCTTGTGGTCGCCTCCACCCATGCAGCCATGGCTACACACTGCACCTGGATGGGGAAACAAGAGAAACACCTCTGTGGGATCTCAGTGGTATACTTCTTTAGGATGTTACTATAAACACACATGTTTGAAAATGGGTGAACCAATGATTCAACAGACACTTCATTCATTAAAGGAGTAGTTCACTTTGAAAAAAACTTTTGCTGATAATTTCCTCACCCCCATGTCATCCAAGATGTCCACGTCTTTCTTTCTTCAGTCGAAAAGAAATTAAGGTTTTTGATGAAAACATTCCAGGATTCTCTCCATATAATGGATTTCAATGGGAACCAAACGGTTCAAGGTCCAAATGAGAGTTTCAGTGCAGCTTTAAAGGGCTTTAAACGACACCAGACGATGAATAAGGGTCTTATCTAGCGAAACGATTGGTTATTTCAAAAATAAATAAAAAAGTTTAAGTTTTATAAGCTCAAATGCTCGCCTTGCTCTGTTCTGTGATGCGCGTTCGTGACTCTCCTGTTCAAACTCGTTCATCAAAATTAATAAATCTTTTTTCGAGTCATGACTCGAAGAAGACCCTTATTCATCGCCTGGTGTCGTTTAAAGCCCTTTGAAGCTGCACTGAAACTGTCTTTTGAACCTTGAACCGTTTGGTTCCCATTGAAGTCCATTATACGGAGAAAATCCTGGAATGTTTTCATCAAAAACCTTAATTTCTTTTCAACTGAAGAAAGAAAGATGCGGACATCTTGGATGACATGGGGGTGAGTAAATTATCAGCAAAAGTTTTTTTTAAAGTGAACTACTCCTTTAAGAGAGCCATTTGGTTGAACGAATGGTGTATGACATCAAAGTACAGCAAGAACGATTAGAGAGCACACACTATTCTTTCGAATCATCTGTGCATCGCTGCTTCAAGTTGAACACACCTATTTACTTGATTCCTGAATGAATCAGAACTAATCAAATTAATAAAAGTTTCAATGTCATTCTCATTTAGACATTTACCACCACCTGGCTGCCAGCAGTTTTAGTTTCTTATTCAGAGTATCATTTCATTAAAGGGGTGGTATAATGCCCTTTTCACAAGATGTAAAATCACAAGAGTGTGTGTGTGAAGTTTTAGCTCAAAATACCCCGCAGATATTTTTATATAGCACGTTAAAGTTGTCACTTTTTGAGGGTGAGCAAAAACGCACCGTTTTGTGCCTGTCCCTTTAAATGCAAATGAGCTGCTGCTCTCAGCACAAGGGGTGGAGCTTCAAGAGTGTGTGCGTAACCTCACTCCCTTTGCTTTGAACTTTGAGCGCTGTAACTTTGCAGATGTTGTTTACGCTCAAACAGCAAGATTACACACTTACTAAAGCTAGAAAAGTGAAATCATAATCAGCCACCCCTTTAAAATAATATTTTCATATTTTGCAGATAGTTTGTCCAAAACATGACAATTCAAGTTATTTACATTTACGTCGTTTCACACCTGTATGACTTTCTTTCTTTTGACATATTTTGAAGAATGTCGGTTAAAGATGCAACATAAATCGGCCACAATATCGGTATCGAACACCGATATATGCTCATTTTCAAAGTTATCAATATCGGCCCAATAAGAAAATTTGGCCAATATATTAAAGCCGATAAATAATGGATTATTTACTTCAGCTGCACTGTTGTGATGGTTTTAAATTGCTTGAAATATAATTGGAATCACTATAAAAATGGAAAATACAGTTTGTCATACAGACTACATAAAATTATAATGAGAACATTTTAACTATGGTTGGGATGTGGCTTTTAATGGTGAGACTTTTGCTTGTGTAATCAGGCTCTCAAGAAATTAAATCTAAATTTGGATTTAGATTTATCGGCCAATATATCGGTTTTCAAATATGAAGAATATCGGTTATCGGTATCGGCCAAAATGTTAATACCAGTGCATCCTTAATGTTGGTAGCACAACTATTTTGGTCAGTAAATATATTTGTATTGTATTGTATGTGTAGTAAATTCTATGATGAATAATTTTTTTGTCTATTTGATGCTTTTCTCATTTAACACAATAATATATAATAATAATGACTTTAAATTATATTTTGGGGGTAATTTCTCAGCCCAAATTGATGTGCGATTAATTTGCGATTAATTACATGAGAAGCAAATTTGGATGATATAATAAGATTTTAGATTATAAAATTTACTAAATGTATCAAGTTAATACATGTCGCTTGCAAAATTATTTATTTTAGTCACATGTCGCTACTTATGAATCACTGTCATATGCAGAAATGTGCTTCCAGATGATGTTGCAACATCTTAAAGCACGGGTTTATGGGGCCATGCTAACCAGATCAACTTTTGATCTCTAGTAGTATTAGCCCATAAAGTGTACATGGATGAACACTTATGGTGCACTATTTCAGGACACAAATTTTTTTTTTCAGGACACAAAGATTTACTTGAAGATTTTAGGTAATAGGATTGTAATTACAAAATCTGTAGGTTAAATGTCAGCCATATATAAGAACAGTTTTTTTTAATAAGAATTTTTGCATTTATGTTATTTCTCCCAAAAGTTTCTTTCTCCCACACATTGTGTTGTTCACTTCAGTGGCTTGCTAAAAAAAAACAAAAAAGATTTCCCAGAACTATGAGGAAACATCTGAGCATCAATATAAATGCAGTAAAAGTGAGATAAGGAAAGTGTTATTATGTAATGCCCATGAAGTGGTCGAAGGTTTTTTGGATTGTTTAATCAATGTGCACTCTGGAAATATTTGTTTGTATGTTCTATGTTTGCTATTCTGATTTAGTAAGTAAATAAACAGTCACTTAGTCGACACTTTTATGCGTCATTCAGCATTTTCGCTTTCAGTATGAACAAAAGAATAGCTTGTTGTGGAAACTTGTCACATAGCAGGTGCTAAGACTTTAGTTGGAACTTGGAAGATGCACTTTAGCCACCGCAATGGTTTGCCTGGTTAGTTTTACCAGTTTGTCAGTATCGGTGGATGTCAAAACAACCTTATATAAGGAAAAACCTTGTTCATAAGATCTTCTTAGTATTTAACAGAAAACATGCTCGCTTATAAGCATAAAACCTCACTAAATATATTTATTCATCCTTAAAGGGATAGTTCAAGGGCATCCAAGATGTAGGTATCTTTGTTTCCACAGTATTTTCTATTTTGATATTTTTTAGGTCAAACCGTTCTTGTCTGTCAGTCATGTAATGGAGGTCTATGGTCACCACCTCAAAGAGCATGCACAGAGAAGTCCAAATTAAACATGATTTAATGACTCGTAAATGTAAGTACACATTGATGGACTAAGACACGAAACAAGCGGTTTGTGTGAGAAAACAAACAGTATTTATATCGTTTTTACCTCTTGTAATCACAGCCACAAAGCGCCCGCGCCCTCAGATCACTTGGACGTGGCTGTGGTTACAAGAGGTAAAAACGATATATAAATACTGTTCGTTTTCTCACACAAACCGCTCGTTTCGTGTCTTAGGCCATCAATGTGTACTTACATTTACGAGTCATTAAATCATGTTTAATTTGGACTTCTCTGTGCATGCTCTTTGAGGTGGTGACCATAGACCTCCATTATATAACAGACAAGAACAGATTGTTGACTTAAAAATATTTTTTGACCTAAAAATATCAATATTGAAACTACTGCGGAAACAACTTGGATGCCCTTGAGGTAAACTCTTTAACATATCCCTTTAAAATAAGAAAAACTATTTGCTATTAGGATAAAAATACTTGTATATATTATAAAACATTTCATTCACAATATAAAATAAGAAAAATATCGGAAATACTATTAATCAAAATATTCTAATTCAAGATATAGCCTATTCTCAAAAAAAAAATCACTTTTTTCACCAGCGACACACCAGTAAAGCAAAGACGGCAGCAAGCAAGTTGTGTATTTCTGTTGCTGCATGTGCCGATGGACATGCTAAGCATGCTAACAGAGATCTGCATAAATGAATGAACAATTCAGCAGCCATAAACTTATGAAATCAGTGCACTCTGGGAAAGACACAAAGGCCAATCCAGTTGGTTTAGCTCTGTGAGGCCGTGTTACTCTGGTTGGGCTAGATTTTTAAGTTTTCCCATCCAACTAGAGTTACTCAAACAAGAAGCGACTAGACGTTTCTCTGCGGGCTATTTATTACACACCCACAATAAATGACCAATATCACTCGTGCCTGATGTTTGACTCTGAAATCATATCAAATGCCATCCACATGGAGAAATTTCTCAGTTGCAACAAGCTGCAATAGCCTGAAGTGAACTGGAGCAATCTGAATGTTGACATTTCGAAACCCTTGCCAATGTTGTCTTATCATTGTGCAAAACTCACAGTGAAAAACAAGTGGTTAGAGCCTGGCTTGTTGTGAGTGTTTAGGACAAAATCCCTACTCTGACTGTAAAGTTAGGCAACGATGAGTTCTTTCTGACTTCCAATGGCCACAAGCAACAGAAAATCCTTCGAACGAAAACATTGAAACATTATACACACAGGTGGAAAAAAATTCTGGCTTGACATAAATCTGTCTTCGTTGAACAAACCGGTCAAACAACAAGCCAGTATAGTCAGATGAGATGTTTAGATGGAGAAAATATGTTATACTTAGAATATATTGTGATGCTAATGGCTGACAGATGTTTTGGGTTATCAGACAATTCCTTATCGGTATTGGAATTGCCACTATGCAAGATGTTTAGAACTATAGCTAATATAGATAAACAGCTCATGCAGACAAATAAATGTGATGATTAAAATGCATACTGGTCTCATCCAATCATTTTGACAGTATAGTAAAATGAAAACCTGGTGGTGAAAGGACAGAGTTAATTAAAGGTTCACAGCATATCCAGTTTACACTCACCAGGAACATATGCAAATTATTATGCACAGATTTGCATGCTGCGCTTATTACATCCTTGGACAGTCCAGAGAGGAGCTTTCTGTTTTTCGTCAGTCACGTTAAATATTATTTATTTACATTTCTGTCATGCTTGTCTGACTTTAAAATATATGTACACTTCAAAATAAACGTTTATTTAACATTTTACACTTTTATAATAACCAAAAACAATAGCATTATTGGATGAATTAAATGTACATTTAAATATAAATGACATTAAACTTTATTTTGTATGTTTCATATAAGCATTAATGTAGCTATGAGCAAGCATATAGGCTATATAATGTCACTGACTTATTATTAATGATTTTACATAGGCCTATATTATAAAAATAAACAAATAAAAGCTTATATAACATGGGCACAGTAATCTACACCTGTTGCTAATAAGTGACTTATTACTAGTGTCTCTTACAATGAACCATCTGTCTTTGAACCCTGTATAATTTCCAGCGGTCGAAAACATACACTATTTTTGCAGTTTATACAGAATAATTGACACAATATATATATAACAGCTCAAATAAGTATAACCTACCTATTTATTTACATTGGAGACAGAATGAAAGTTATCATTTAGCATATTAATTCCGCTAATAAACAAGATAAAACAATATCCATTTACCTGTAGAGTGATAGAAATTATTCCATAAGATTGTTTATATATATTCCAAGCTCACAATACACGTCTGCGTGCTTTAGGGTTATAGGTGTGCAGTTCAAACTTTAAAGAAAGGAGGGCGGGTTGCAAATTTACGAATCCTACTGCGACTGCTTATCTCATGAATATTAATTTGACGTCCCTTGGTAACCTTCCGGGAGAGTCACTGAAACAAACTAATTAATATTCATACGCAAGACTTTCGGCTAATCAGCTGAGCAAACGGCACATTACGTAATTAATATTCATGAGCCACGCCGGTAATGACGTTTCCTGTCATCAGCAGTCGCAGCGGCGGTCTCGAGGTGTTGCTCGCGGCCACTCCTTTTTATAAACGTGCTTCTTCAACCGGAAAAACCAGTAGAGCTGAATGGAAGAAAGACACGGGGTGTGTAGAAAACACTGTATAAGGTGGGAGACACAAATATAGGAACATATTCCATTGTAAACCGCGTGGAAACTAATTAATTGACTTGACAACAGCATGTTGTACAAACATTCTTCAAAATCCTCGACAACTTTCTGACTGTGGAGTTTCCGCCAAACTTGTAAACACCAATTAACCTATGGACAAACGATTTTTCCCGCCTCTGAAAATCAGGTCTTCCCTAAAAATCCCTAGACTTCCATTGAGGTTACATTGCCAACAACTGTGATTGTCTTTATGAACTTTAAGAACTTATGAAGTGAAATAGTTATTGTTTTCATCTACTGTTTTGCTCATTTCAGATAAAATATGGCCTGTCATCTGTCCATATTTCTAATACACCCATATTTCTATTAGAGAGTAACACTCCTGCTGATGCAATATTAATTTTGTATTCTTTTTTTTTATTATTATATTTGGTGAATCGTAACCAATGGACATTGAAAGCATTGTTTATTTTGTTGTTGTTAAAAGCAGGGTAGGTGATTTGTTCCAGAAACATTTATTTTTTATTATGCTGGTTGAAAGTATGGTCAGAGAATGTCTAAAATGGGGAGAACTTTCACTCTCGGTAAACTTCCGGTTCTGAACTGGTTCCAGTTCCACTCTGGTTCCATATGAGGGCGCTCTCAGGACGAGTGCAGAATGAATGGAGGTCCATCGACCGGAAGTTGAAGCCTCGCGGGAGCTGCCATCTTGTAGCAGAACTTCACTTGCGTTAGCATTCCCATTGACTCCCATTCATTTTGGCGTCACTTTGACAACGAATAACTTTACATCTGAGGTGTTTGAAGACCCCATTTGTCCTTTATTTATTTCTAAAGAAACACGACAATGTATAAAATGCTCCATTACCTTGTAGCTTATGTTATGGCCCCGTAGAAGCAGTTTTAGTGAATGTAGGCTAACGACTGCGTCATACCCACGCGACTCTCTGTCGCACAGTAGTGAGATTACCGTATGGACATGAGAAGAAGCTTGCGCGCAATGGGGGAAACGTGGAGGCAAAATGACAAAATAATTAATCAGAATACCTAGAAAAATTGAAACTCATGACCTATAACTCATGTTGAACTTGCAAAACCAACATTCAAATCTGAGATTTCTCAACGTCAATCAGGTGAAAGAGACTAATTTAGCCGTCTGGCTCCATAGACTCCCATTCACTCTGCACTCGGATGATCGCCCCCAGTGGAACTCTGGTGGAACTACAACCAAAATTCAGTACAATAGGACTTTATAGGGAGTGTCCAGGCCCAGGCTATCAGATGGGCTTTGATATGTTTGACGATGTATATCGTCTGTGGAAGGCGTAGGACCATAAAATGTTCGTCCAATCATTGCATGCGGACCGAATTATGGTTTATGGTCCTACCTACAATGCTTTGCGCACCTGCTTGCACAGACATCACTCATGCTTAAAGCCTCTCCGAAAATTGCCTATACCCTACCTTTAATTTAACCATGCATTTATAAGGGATGTTGTCAACGTGTAAATTTAGTGTGACAACACTCAGATAGTTAGACTTTGGTCAAATGCACTTTTTATAGGTTAATATCTATACTGTTAACCCTATTTAAATGAGCAACAAAATTATGTGGCCAAAGGCAATTAAAGATTTATAAACAATCCTTGAAACTATCTCTTATTCACGTTTATAGTCCAGTGCATGTTCAATATTTACCCCTTCATTGCAGCTGTGTATCGATTCCCCTTGTTGACAGAAGTCAGGGAAATGAAACCAATAATGAGTCAGGAATGTAAATACAACAGGAAAGGGACTAATGCACTTTAACTAAGGTTGATTTCACAAAATCCATATATGCGTTAAAAAAAATGTAGCACTGTCATCATGTCAACCTATAGATTCATGATCAATGGGAGCGCATGCGCATGCTTGCTGCTGTGTTGTGTCCGTGAGGCAGTGTTTAAGATACTGTTGTAGATCGTATTCATATTTTAATTAGTTTTTATTTTTGCATTATTATTTTTTTTTTTAAGCAATTTTAGTTTTAGTATTATAATAACCCATGGTGTCAGGTTTAAAGGAATAGTTAGTCCATATGACTTTTGCGCTACATCACATATATTCTGAAGTCATATAATAGCTTTTTGTAAGGATCAAAACATAGTTGAAGGTTTTAAAGGGTAGTTCACTGGTTTTAAATCTCATTAGTGCTCATTAATTTTTTAAACCACGTTTTTGTATTTGGTTCACTGCAGATTTAAGGAGAAAATACTCAGCAATGGTGTCGACTTGTGAATTTAGTCTTTGTCTTAGGTTTGTCATATTAAAAACACTGCATTGACATAAACAACATTAAAAACTGGATTGACACCACAGGGAGACTTGCCTCTTTTTTTTTACTTCAATTTAAGCCTGGCCTATAAAATCAAGTCAGTTGTTGATGCCTGACATATTGCAATGCCATTAAAATAATACTTATTGGTGTGCAGAGCCATAACATTTTCTTTGGTTGTAATTTACAGAATGTATTTTCATTTGGTGAACTTTTTCCCCACAAAAAAATAGTTGAGCTTAAACAATTATTGGCAAACCCACAATTTGTGATCTCTGATTTAAGCATTTGACCTTCACAGGGTCAGGTTAAATATGTTGTTCTTGCTTACTGAATGGCAGCATAGTATAATTTAGAAATAGCAGTATGTGTGGTTAACTCCCCATGCTCGTGTTACCCGATCACACCCCATGATCACAACTGATAGCCTCCATTATTTGTTTGATCCTTTTTTTATAACATCCTGACAAAGGTCAAATGGTTTGAGTCTTATGATACATGGCAGGGCCTTGTTACTCTTGCTTTTTAGGTGGATCTAATTGCCCTATTGTATGCTCGCACATTGTTGCTTATACAAATAAATGAGGCACTGTTTGGAGAACAGTATATATACAGTATATGGCATTAAATTAGGCAACATGTCCAATACTTTTACTCCAATAAATTAAATATTTCATTTATATGGTATATGATGGATTTTCTGAAGATCGTGTGAGTGGTGCGTGTTAAATTCAGGGTGTTGTCAGTCAGGGCATTACTATGGTGCCGAAGAGGTTTTCTAAAGGGGTTGCTAGAGTGTTGAAGTTAAAAAAGCCCAGTCTACACACCGAAAAATGATTTAGTCTTTGGTCAAAAGAGGGCGCCAGAGGAGAAGAGACTCCATTCAACTCTGTTTCAATCCTTTGATTCCTCTGTGAATGAATCCAAATAAGTACATTTAAGTCATGTGTTATAATTATGTGCAAACATATAAACATACATAAAATCGATAAAAAATAGAACAGTTTATTGAACCTTTAGACAAAATCTAAAAGTATATGTGTTTTTAATTTTTTTTTTTTTTTTTTTAATTTTTTAATTTAATGACCACACAGCCAGGCTGGTGGAATTTGTTTTCAGTACAGCTCATTTCTTGGGTGCAGGTTCCAGAAAATACATTAACAATGAACATTAAACATATATAATACAATACCATACATATACATACATTTTGTTGAATCATATTTGATACATCAGGCTGTTGTTTGATATAGGACAAAAATAGCTTAATTTTATTTAAAGGCCAAAACTGAGAAAAATATGCAATTGTGTGTGGTTGATGATATTTAATGCTAAAAAGTAATACTAAATTCTGATTCTTGTAATGTAAATCAATGAGATATTATTCATAGGTACTTATACATAAAAAGCATATAAATATCCGCCGTCACTCTATATCTACCAATAATATGTCTTAGTTAGTAAGATGATATTTAAAGGCTTAGTTTTATGATCAAAGCTCGGTTGTTTTTATAAGGGCAAAAGCCTGATGATCATATTATGAGTTTGTTTACTTTGTAAAATCAGTGCAGATTTCACAGCAAAAATACACATGAACCACGAGCCAGAGAAGGACGTGTTTTACAATGATGCTAAAATGCTTTTTACTTGCTAAAAGAAACTATAAACTGTCGTTCAGATGACACAAGGCGTGTGCAACAGGTAAGTATCATATGATAAAAATGATTCAGGTTATGGATTTCATTGGCAAATATTTCTGCACAAACCCCTCCCTGTTTTCAGACGGCTCCTAAATCACTCATTCATACAGCGGTGATGTTAACAATTCGTCCTGTCTTCCTCTTCCCTATTCTCCCGTTTCTCTCTCTCGGCACCTTTGCGCCCCTCCCTCGCTCCGTCGTTGTGTTTTTCTTCCTTTCTTCCACTCTCACCAGGTAACCAGACCTCCTGTGGGGGGTGTTGAGTTTCCACTTTCCCAGAGAAGGAGACAATTTGAGCCTCACAAAGCCCACAAAAGCTGTTCGGCATCGTCCCTCCTCTCTCGCTCTCGGCCCTTTTCTCCCTCTAATTCGCCACTGTCCCTGTGCCTTCCTCGCTATTCCCTCGGCATTTTATTTCTTTGCACTCTTTCTCTCTCCGTCTGTCTCTTTCTTTCGGTTCGGATCAGATAAAGAGACAAAAAGTAATTGCACGGCAAACTGTGAAACACATCCACACATTCACAAAAATCACATCAGAAGTAGTCAGAACTCAAGTTGCTCGCAAGAGAAATCCAATGAAATAAACAGTGATTGGTATCTTCTCTTCTGAGCCGTCCTATGCAAAACTCTGGTGTGTGTGTGTGTGTATCTGTGTGCAGCTGGTCAGCAAAGAACAAGTGTAACTGAGTCGATGTGGCAGGCGGGTGGGGGGATCTTTATGAGTGTTGGTTTACAGTGTGCTATGATGACAGCAGTGGCACCGTGAGAGACAAGCCGAGATTCACCCTGTGACCCCTCATGCTGTCATTCTCTGAGGAAAACACGCGTCATTATAGCCATTTGCTGCCACTGCAGGAGTAATTCACTCGGAAATGAAACTTTGTGACTTTATTTCTTCTGTGTAACACTAAAGGAGATGTTTTGTTCCATACAATGAAGGCGAAGTGAAATACTTTCATTTTGGTCTGTGACTCTCAAACCCTGGTGCTGTTCAGTCATTTTTGACCGAAAATGTATGTTTTATTTAAAAAATGTTTTAAAGGTAGTTCACTTTTGAAAAAACTTTGCTGATAATTTACTCACCCCCGTGTCATCCAAGATGTCCATGTCTTTCTTTCTTCAGTCGAAAAGAAATTAAGGTTTTTGATGAAAACATTCCAGGATTTTTCTCCATATAATGGACTTCAATGGGAACCAAACGGTTCAAGGTCCAAAAGACGCTTTCAGTGCAAACTGCAAACTGTTCAAAGGGTTTTAAACAATTCCAGACGATGAATAAGGGTCTTATCAAGCGAAACGAACGCTCATTTAATTAATAAATGACAAAGTTTAAGTTTTATAAGCTCAAATGCTCGCTTTGCTCTGTTCTGTGATGCGCGTTCGTGACTCTCCTGTTCAAACTTGTTTATCAAAATGAACGAATCTTTTTTCGTGTCATTTGGTTCATTCAGTGAACGAAATGAACAAATTGACTCAGGAAAAGATTTGTTTTTGTCTAACCGTTTCTCCTCTTAATCTCCTTCATATCACTTTAAAATACAACACTCAGTGCTGAATTCAAAAGGGTCCCCAATATGTTTTCTGGTCTGAGTCGACGCGATCACATGATCCATTTTGTCTATCGTGTCTCTGGACCGGAGCTGCGGCGGTTCGCATGACGCTAACACTCAAATGCTCGCCTTGCTCTGTTCTGTGATGCTCAAACTCGTTCATCAAAATGAACGAATCTTTTTCCGAGTCATTTGGTTCATTCAACAAACGAAACGAACGAATTGACTCGGGAAAAGATTTGTTCTTTTTTTTTTAGTTCAAATAAATGTTTTCATAAAATGGCGAAAAAATATAGTACGGTATACAAAAAAATATTACGCTATTTTTAACATTGATAATAATCATAAATGTTTCTTGAGCAGCAAATCATCATATTAGAGTGATTTGTGAATGATCATGTGACACTGAAGACTGGAGTAATGATGCTGAAAATTCCAGGAATAAATTCTTGATCAAATAAATGCGGCCTTGGTGAGCTTACAATTTATTTAAAAAAAAAAAACCCAAAAACGTTTATTAATCTTTTTTTGTGCTTTTAATGTGTGTTTACAGCTCAACGGCACCACACTTCACTGTATGGAGGTAAAAAAACAGCTCAGCATTCTGCCTGTGTCGTTTTGTGTTCAATGGAAGAAAGAACATGACGGTGAGTAATTGCTCAAATATTTTTTTGAGTGACCTAAACGACCTATTTAGAGTTTGAGTTGTTGTAAAAGTGCATTGGGAGGCTGTATTGAAGTAGTGGCTTTTGAAAAATAAATAGTTTAGTTTTGGTTGAATGAGTCTGGGCTTTTTCAGAAGCCAAAATGGCAAAAAATAAAAAGTCTCTCTCTAGATGAAGGGCACAAACTGCTTTTAAAGTTTAAAACAACTTGGGGAAGAATGCATATTCAGATTCAAGTTTTTGCATCTACTGGAGGAGATGGATAAATGTGTGTCTCAATGCAAACCTCATTGGTGCCACAATTGGGTAAATAGTTTGTGGTTGGTTGGATCTTCTAGGATGTTGCTTTCTGGCCCAAGTCAAAATAAGTCTGATATTTTTATATGATATATGCTATTTTGGTCTAGATATGACTCTAGGTCCCTCCTTCACGGTAAGTCTATAGGATTTTCTGTGTAGGCTATCTAGAAGCATTTGTGTTCACATATTGGGCCTTAGTTGTTTTCAAACATTAGCTGTGCTGAAAAGGGAAATCTCAATAGTTTTTATTGTACTGAAGTTGTAAGAAAGGTCAATCAAGATATATTTTTACTATTATTGAAATATTTCAATATATGCAATATAGAGCTAGCCATTTGTTTAAATGTATTTGTTGGTATGATTAAGCCGTAAGGAACAGTCCAACATATATTTGTTATTCATCATTAAAGGGTTAGTTCACCCAAAAATGAAAATTCTGTCAGTATTTACTCACCCTCATGTTGTTCCAACCCCGTAAGACCTTCGTTCATCTTCGAAACACAAATTAAGATATTTAAGATATTAAGATCGCTCCTGCATACTAGTCCATAGGCTTCTTGAGGGAATGACTTGCTGTCCTCAAAATCATTAAAGACATCGTTAAAATAGTCCAAGTGACTACAGGGGCTCAATTTTAACTTTATCAAACGACGAGAACACTTTTGTGCGCAAAAATAAACAAAAATAACGACTTTATTTCAACTATTCACTTCCTTCTCCATGGGCCTGTAGTCAGTTAACGTAGTGTGATTGCGTAAAGCTACGTCACACGAAGGCACACTATTGGCTGACGCTGGTCATGTGTGTGATGCGTGTGACGTACAATAACAGAAGCTTACGCTATTAAACTAGAAACCTGACTCGCGCAGAGGGAGAAATAAACGAATAGTTGAAATAAAGTCATTATTTTTGTTTATTTTTGCGCACAAAAAGTGTTCTCGTCGTTTGATAAACTTAAGATTGAGCCCCTGTAGTCACTTGGACTATTTTAACGATGTCTTTAATGACTTTTCGATGACAGCAAGTCATTCCCTTAAGAAGCCTATGGACTAGTATGCAGGAGCGATCTTAATATCTTAAATATCTTAATTTGTGTTTTGAAGATGAACGAAGGTCTTACGGGGTTGGAACAACATGAGGGTGAGTAAATACTGACAGAATTTTCATTTTTGGGTGAACTAACGTTTTAAATTAGTAATTATAGCTAGACATTCAGTGGACACTGACTTTTAATAATAATAACTTTTTCAGGCTTTGTGTTATTTGAAAGCTCTTAAGCTTTCATTATATGGAAAAGAGCAGCTTGTACATTCTGCCAAACATCTCTTTTTATGTTCCACAGAGGAAAGAAAGTGATACGGGTTTGCATTTGAGTTTTCATTTCTGGGTGAACTGTCCCTTTAAGAGCACACCAAACTGATCCACCTGATCGGATGGATGTTAAACAAATAAAAAAGTAAAAATAAATGTGCCCTGGTCAGTAGGGGGTTCCCATGTCCTCCGTCCTGACCCCCATCACTAACCCATTCACTAACCAGGCAGGGTGACGCTCCAGATGAAACCCCCCTTCATCCCACAGAGAGAGGGAACGCTGTGACCCTATAAATAGAGAAGAGGAATGGTGGTGATATGTTGATGGAAGGAGGGGGGCATGGAAAAAGGATTAAGAGAGATATTTGGCTGATGGTCGGGTTGTTCTTGCGGCCCGCGGATCTGACTCAGGTAATCCGGATAGGAGAGATATCACATGGGAGTTTCGTGCGATCTTGATGACAGTGAAATGGGCGTTGATGCACTCGTTCTGTCCTTCTGTTTACCTCTCATCCTTCTAACAGTGGTGCTGCGCCTTCCCTTGAGGATGGGAAGTGTTTTCATTACTGGAGGGAAAGGTGTGATGACGGAGGAGAGACTGCATCGTGTTCAGGTGATTTATGTGCTGATTGAAGTACCCTTACTTTCTGATTGTTGAAGTTCACATCTAGGCAACTTAATTGATTTTGACATAAACTTTACAGGTACCCTAGATCTAAATTTAACATTTCAAGCTACGTAACTATCACTACTGCAATCACTCAAGCAAACAGATACATGTTAAACTGGCGGGTTTACTGGCATAACTCTAAACATTTGGAAAGATGAGTGTGTATTTAAAATGGGTCATTTATGTAGAAGAAATTTAAAATTATTTTTGAATTTGGAGCTTTCTGGACTGAGAAAAGCCAGAAAATGTATTTTTAGCTTATGTGGATGAAAGACAACAACTCCCAGAATGCACTTGCTTCGCTGCCCTAGAAGGCCACGCCCACCGGTGACAGAGCGCAGTCGTTAAACAACAAGTCTAGGCTACTAGTGAGTCTCGTGATGAGTCTGCCCGAAAATGTGTTTCGAGATCGCCCGAAATGTCCGGGATTGGGCTTTTGCGTTCTACAGTCGCCGTTCATCATGTTTCCTGTGGCGAGCGGGCCGGTGGCGTGATTACCGATGAGCGACACCTGTGAGACGCACCGGTCTCGTATCTCTCACAGAGGAGCGGGAATTTCCTCAGCAATGTTAAAACGCACATCAACCGCGTTCATGTAAACACTACATTCAGATTCACCAATCAGAATTGAAACAAAAGCTGTGCATGTAAACAATGAATGGCGACTGCAGAAAGCAAAAGCTGAATCCCGGACATCGACGGCCGGACATGTCCGGGAAAAAGAGGACGGTAACCCCGACTACTCGGCTTTCTCCACAGAACAAGAGCCTGCTAGCTTAGCTTCCAAAACAAGATGGCCGACACTATGTGTTCATTCTGTGAGTGAGATCGCCCTCTATGGGCGGGTTGAGGACATGCGGGACAGCTCGACTACTGACTGTAGTCTTTAGCCTCTGGACAAAAAATCCTCCGATGACACAAAAAAGAGTATTTTTTGTCATCAGATAATTTTTTCCAGACAAAAAATACATAAATCTCTCGTCTCAGGGGGATATGAGGCATGGTAATTTGAAAATACTACAGGTTTCCTACTAATACAAAGCTTAATACTAAATCCTGAAGTATCCCTTTAAGGGCCTAAAATGAAGCTCTAAATGCGAGTAAAAAGTGGCGTTGGCGAGTATATGAAACGGTGTCACTCACCATTTGGCCGGTAACGTTTTTCTGAATTCTAACAATGCTTGAACATGAACAAACGTGAACGCCGGTCAGGACAGTTGACGACGGGCCAGCGCTGCAACATCACGAAAGTTTAAAGCCTTGCTTGACAATTTATTCAAGTGCGAGAAGACGCGAAAGGGAGCTTTTTCTGTTACTCACTCACTGTGTGGAAAGTTTTGTGCGCACACATCTGATGTGCACGCCTATACGCCGCTTATCAGACTAAACTAAGTTTTCTTTCACGTTTTCTTGCACTTAAAAAATACAGAGTATCCTAGAAAACATAGTCTGATAACATAATACACACGCATGCTTGTATATATTTAAGAAATATTTTCATGTATGTACTGTATATAGATTTATATATAATTTATATTATATATACTGTAAATATCAATGTTTTGTATATAAATATTTTTTTTTTCTTAAATATACATGCATGTGTGTGTATTTATATATACATAAAATAATTATACACAGTGCACCCACATATATTATGTAAACCCAAACTTTTATTTTGGATGCGATTAATCGCGATTAATCGTTTGACAGCCCTAATATATATATATATATATATATATTAGGGGTTTCACAACTACTGATTTTTGCTAGTCGACTAGTTTTGCATAACAGTCGACGACTAGTCGACTAGTCGTTAAATGGTTTATTCTAGCGGTGTGCGACAACACGAATAGTAAATGTCTCCACGATCTGCTTTTGAAGAAATATGGTAGTAGTAGTATCGTGTTACAGTGCATTCTATCAGTTCTGGCGCCTCTCAACTGTACAACGCGACGTAGCCTACACATCACACGTTAAGGAATAGGTACGGGACACTGCAATTCACAAAAGTTCATTGTTTGCATAAGCCTTGCCGGTTAAACATTTAATTCACGCGCTGTTCTAACGTGCGCTTTCCTGAGCGCGCGGCATATCCCCGACGCTCACAGGCACTAGAAACCTGTCAAACAGCGCCTGAATACTGGACTAAGTTATCTTTCAAGTCTTATATTGCTAATACTGTTAAATACACACAATGTTTACATAAACAGAATTGGCTTTGTCTAAAGTGCAGCCTCCCCATATAGAAAGTGAAAGCAAACATTTGAGAGAAAATCTGGTGTAGGCTAATATGCGTCTATATTAAACACGTCGCGTGCTGGTCTAAAAGCGAGAGTAGTACTCGTATTTTCCGCACTATAAAGTGCACTTAAAAGCCTTTAATGTTCTCAATCCGGCCTTTTCTCAAGCTTTATAATCCGGAGCGCATTATATATACAGACACTGCTGTCAGCAGGCTGCGAATGTAAGTTACGTGCCCGCCCCAGCGCGCTCACGCTTACTAAATAAACGCCTCACCTCCGACGCCGCGCACTCGCTGCATTCCCTTTAGCACATCTAGTGGATGCATAACGCAAACCCAGTCAAACGTTTGAAAAATGTTCTAAAATAGGTCATTGAAGGTGCGCCTTATAGTGCTTATAGTATATAGTACTGCCGCTTGTATTTAAAGGGATAGTTAACAAAAAAAATATATCTATATATATGTCATCATTTTGTTTCCGACTAGTCGACTAAGGCCAACAGCGCCAACTAGTGGTTGTGACAGTCGACTAGTCGACTAGTCGACTAGTTGATGAAACCCCTAATATATATATATATATATATATTTATATTAGGGCTCTGCAAAAATTAATTGCGATTAATCGCATCCAAAATAAAAGTCTGTGTTTACATAATATATTTGTGTGTGCTGTATATAATTATTTTGTATATATAAATACCTATGCATGCATGTATTTATTTAAGAATTATATATATATATATAAATACATAATCATATTTTATATATGAATAACACATTTTCTTAAATATATACATGCATGTGTGTGTATTTATATATACAAAATAATTATACACAGCACACACAAATATATTATGTAAACACAGACTTTTATTTTGGATGCGATTAAATCGCAATTAATTTTTGCACAGCCCTAATTTATATACATATTAGTTCAAAAGTTTGAATCAAATTGAATTTAAACTTCAAAAAGTTTAAATTGTAATATTCCACAATTTTACGCTTTTTTCTGTATTTTTTTTTTTTAAATGCAGCCTCGGTGAGCATAAGAGACTTCTTCTAAAAAAAAACATTAAAAAAATCTTATTTATTCCAAACTTATGAACAGTAGCACATCTATAGCCATAATAGTGACTTAACTCCCTTGTGGTTTTGCAGCTTGTCAAAGCAGACAAGGGAGGAAAAGACAAAGAGGTCAAAAGTTAGGCCTCCTTTCCAACTTAACAAAATCTCAGGGTTGAGCGAGGTTAGAGAGCAACAATAGCATGTGAGATCCTCAGTCAAAAGAGCCACAGGAGTGATGAATGACCAAGAAAATCACACTCGTTTTGTCTAGTGTAGGGGTAGAAATAGAGCAAAACATGTTTCATAAGACTTTTTATGATATAGTAAACTTTTATAATGCAAAGCTAAATCAATCAACATTTATTGTGGGAAAAAGCATAGTCTAGTTGTGGCTTTTAATTTAACACGCATTGCATGTTGTCACAATATAAGTTGTCACATTGCATTGGCTAATGTAATTTCATGGGATATAGCTTATAATATAAAAGGTCAAATCTATAGTGTTTTAGCCAACAGAAAATATAATAAATTCATTGGATAAAAGACAACATTTGTGAACTCTGAATGTCAGTGTGGCTTTATAATGTTTACTTAAAAACTACAGCAATACAGAATTCACTTCAGTTTTGAAGTCGAAAAGCGCCGCTAGAGAAAACAAGCATTTGTGTGTTTAAACTTCTGACTCAAAATCGTATAGTTGCTTTCCCTCTGATAACTAGCCACATTCCCCCTATTAAAAATGCCTTTTCTGTGCATAACTTCTTATTTTGCTTTTGTAGCGTTCCAGTGCCTGCTTCATTAACCAACTTCAGCATTTGAGACACCAGCCAAGTGCAACAGAATAAAAGTTGCGATGAGAACAAATGCACGTCGCTGCATGGTTTTGCCATTCAGGTACATTTCCTGCACACTTCTCATAATGAGGCTTGTCCGGATTCGTCATAAATGCATCTCGTCTCATCTTTTCTCTCATTCTGTTTCTCAACCCCCTTTTTAAACTAATTCCTTCCCCTCCCCCTCTCTCTCGTTCTCTTTATTCAAAGCCATTGATCATGCATGCAGAAATTTAGCACGCCCCTAGCTCCAGTCGGGAGCGCTGGGGCGCTGTCCTACATACGGCTTCTCTACACACACTCATCCTGAGACCACAATCAAATACACACACACACACAGGGCAACCGCGCTGACAAACCCTTGAGCCGTGATACATAAGCACGCAAATGTTTTACAAATTGTGGCATGTATTCCTACCAGATCGGCCTACGGGCGGCTCTCAAAACTTCTGGTGCAGAACTTTGATTTTGGATCTGATCATTCAGTTTTCACTTCACTTTGTATTATTTTTTTACTAAAATTTTACCCTATATATATATATCTCCTTTATTCACTTTCCTTTAGCAGGTGCACTTCTGATCTTTTTTTATTTTATTAAAATAACTGCGAATATGTGAATACTTCCAAGTTTCTTTGGATCAAAGTATATCATTTTAATATAAATCTAGTATGCATGCTTTTTTTTGCATACAGTTGTCTTGTGCATCACTCAAATAAACAAACTGGGAAACATAAAATCAACATTTTATTTTCCACATTTTTGATGCTTTGTAAAACAAATAGTTGTTTATGGGATCATCTATTTGCAGTCCAGAGGAATATGCTCATCTTCTGAACCTCTGAATGTCAGTGTATACTCATTCAACAAATAACTAAACATAAAAACGACAACAATACCACGTGAGATGCTGTTGTTTACAAGGAACAATGCACACCCCTCGGAGGACTACGGGTGCTTGTGGTCAGTCTGTCAGTCCCACCCACTCGTGCAAAACACCAATCACCTGCTCTTGACTTCGTGCCAGTTCAGGCCGACTGGAATCCAGTCTACCAATCACCGAACTCCCCCTGATGCTGAATGATACTGGCTAACACTTGGATATAGACGGCACTGGCTTGGTTTGGTTGATGGTACACACAATAGATCAAGTCCAGTCACTTACAAGTCTTGAATATGCTAGACAGACACACATCTGTCTATCATTCTGTCGTTCCGTCTATCTTTTTATCTGTCTGTTTATAAATGTGTACTTTTCATTTTTATTCTATCTATCTATCTATCTATCTATCTATCTGTCTGTCTGTCTGTCTGTCTGTCTGTCTATCGATCTATCTATCTGTCTGTGTCTGTCTACATCTATCTGTCTGTCTGTCTACATCTATCTATCTATCTATCTATCTGTCTGTCTGTCTACATCTGTCTGTCTGTCTATCTATCTATCTATCTATCTGTCTGTCTATCTGTCTGTCTGTCTACATCTGTCTATCTGTCTGTCTATCTATCTGTCTGTCTGTCTATCTGTCTGTCTCCTATCTATCTATCTATCTATCTATCTATCTATCTATCTGTCTGTCTGTCTGTCTGTCTGTCTATCTATCTATCTATCTGTCTGTCTGTCTATCTGTCTGTCTGTCTCCTATCTATCTATCTATCTATCTATCTATCTATCTATCTATCTATCTATCTATCTATCTATCTATCTATCATCTATCTATCTGTCTGTCTGTCTGTCTACATCTGTCTGTCTATCTGTCTGTCTGTCTGTCTGTCTGTCTCCTATCTATCTATCTATCTGTCTGTCTGTCTGTCTACATCTGTCTGTCTGTCTGTATGTCTATCTGTCTATCTATCTATCTATCTATCTATCTATCTATCTATCTATCTATCTGTCTGTCTGTCTATCTGTCTGTCTCCTATCTATCTATCTATCTATCTATCTATCTATCTATCTATCTATCTATCTATCTATCTATCTATCTATCTATCTATCTATCTATCTATCTATCTATCTATCTATCTAAATGTATAGGCCTACTTTTTATTTTTATTCAGTCTGTTTGACTTCATTTCTTTATATCCCTGCCTGTAATCCACGCTATCCATCTGTCTTTCTGTCTCTTTCTTCAGACTGACCACGTTTCGACTCTGCTTCTGCTACTGTACAACAGCACATGAAAGCAGGAGGGGCGGGGCCAGGGAGAGCGAGGGGCGGAGCCGACCACTAGAGTCCGGGAAAAGTCAAACTGGAGGCGGGGCCTCAATGTCTGCGCAAACCCCACTTGGCCCGTCCTCCTCCAGACGGGCCCCTCCCTCCCCCACCCCCTCGGGCCACCCGCTCTTGAGTTGGAGACTCCTGGCTCCCGTTCGGCTCAGTCCGGGCAACAGAGGGACACGGGAATGGACACAGAAGGGAGTCAGAGCAGCCTGTCGTCCTCCACGCAGGACTCCCCGCACGATCCCTGGTAAAGCTGCTCTCTGCGCGCTCCGTTTGACTTTTCCTCGCGAACTGGAGATCTATACGCTATATATAAAGCTGAGAGTTTTGGGACCAGGAGGGAAGAGACCACCGGAGACAAAAGACAGAAGCGCGGGTCCCTTTGCGAAAGAGCGAAAATGGAAACAATGTAACAGCCAGGAGCCTCACTGTTACATTGTTTCCATGTTCCCTCTTTCCAGGACGCGCGCTGTTACATTGTTTCCATCTGTTCCATTTGGAACTGTTACATTGTTTTCAGCCGGTTATATTTTTACATTCCATTTCGCCCGTTCAAACGGGTATGCTCGAACTTGTTACTTTTTAGAGGAGCGGAAATATTTAATTGTGCGTTTTCATTGGAAATAACGGCACGCATCCATCATGGCCGAATTTCACTTTTCCACTTGATTTATTGTTATTCTGGCGGGTTGATTACTGTATGTGCACATGCATCAGCAATCAATCGCGTTTCAGATGTCTGATCTGGCTCTGTTTTTCACCTTTCAGCAAAATGTTCATCGGCGGGCTGAGCTGGCAGACGACACAAGGTGAGACACGCGTGATCTTCTGTCCTGCCTGATACTTCCACTAAAAACTCTCATGCACGGGTTGCTGGGAGCTTACAGGAGCATGTTTTCTTTCATAATGTTTGTTTGGCTAGAAACAGAAAGCAAATAGTCCATGCGCCGTAAAATCAAAGCATGCATTCAACGCACGAGCCTATCCCGTAGAAGATGATTCATAGATCAATTATACCTGACATGTTTTGTCAGAAAACTTCCTCGATGATCTATATATAATGAGCTCGTGGAGATTTGAGGTGAAAGCAAGGGCGCTAGCGAGGAAGCGCTGATGTGCTCGGATATAGTGGAAAATCTCTCCGAGGGCAAGCGCACTGTGTATATACCTGCGTTGTTATTCAAATACCCAGCTTAACTTGGGACATTTTAATAAGAATGCTTACCAGAGCTTTATAATGAGCGCTATTGTTGAGATGCAAAGCGCTCACAGATGCTGAACTAGCAGCGAGCTTTTTGTTCAAGGTACATCAAACACGATTTGTGTCGCTGTGAAATAAACGCATTGTATTTTGTTGTTTTTTTCTTTCTCCAGAGGGACTGAAGGAATACTTTTGTAAATTCGGCGAGGTGAAGGAGTGTATGGTGATGCGGGATCCGGTTACGAAGCGGTCGAGGTGAGGGGGAGGCGCGCGCACATCCACTGCTGACTTGTTGTTTGTGTGTTTGTAACTTAACTCTTATGCGTAATGTGTGTGCATGCACTGCTTTTGCGCAGGGGCTTTGGATTTGTCACCTATGTAGACCAGACCGGTGTGGATAAAGTTTTGGCCCAAAACAGACACGAGTTGGATTCAAAAACAGTGAGTTTTTATTTTTTTATGCTGTATATTGGGAGCACATTGCATGAAAATAATAATCCAGCAGTGTGACCTCCTGTGGTTTTACTGGCTTATTCGTTTGTTTTTGAAGCAGTTCGCCTTATATTCTTTCGTTTATTCCTTAAGCACTTCAATGGGTTGAATGCTTTGCGGTGGTCACGTTAGTCCGCATGCACGAGGTCCGTTCCAGCAGGTCTGACTGACGCAGAGCGCGCCACATGAAAGCGTTCTTTCTCGCTTTTCATCGCCATGGCAACCAGGGGAGCGAAACGGGGCAGAATCAAACTTTGCAAAAACTTCTAGGATTCGATCAACATTCCAAAAGGAATGCATGTAGTTTAAAACCACTGTGAATCGTCGAGGATTTAGTTTTATTATTACTAAAAACTATGCAGTGCCTATGCTATGATGTTATTTTATTTGACGTAGCCTACCATATCATTAAATAAAACTATATCTCTATTCATACTCTATTACCACCATGGCACTGCCACAGAATTGGAATCTTTTTGGAAATGTATAATTTACTGTAGTCACATTTGACAGCTGTGTATTTTTTAAAGTTATACATTAAGAAGGTTCTAGATACTAGCCACAATCTAGAGAAATTGTGAATTTAATTTGCATCAGTGTGGCCTCAGGGGCCAGATTTTACATCAGACATCACTCTACCCAAATTGTTTAACATTGTTGTTAAAATCAACCATTCACTGTAAAAAAAAAAAATGGTCAGTAAGTCATGCCAACTTAAATTTTTGCATTACTTTAACTTGTGAAAATAATGTAAGCAGTTAGCATTATTCAAGTTTCACTAAAAGACTGTTGGTAAAATAAAATAAAAACACTTAAGTTGAATTAGGTGGACATTTTTTACAGTGTTGAAATATTTGAAATGAACTGGATAGGTTAAACAATATGCAAAAATGAATAGGAAAACTGACAATTTTGCAAATGCATAAACAACAGAAGTGATTTGCCAGCTGAACATATTGCTAAAAGTTGCTACTTTCTACTTTATAGTTCTGTAAAATAAAGTTGATCAGTCGAACAGCCTTTGATGTCAAATGTAGAGCTTTCTCTCCTCCATTTTAACAGTTTAGCTCGTACATTTGGCTTTTATTATATTCATTTATTGTTTTATCTCTGATGACCCGATCAGAACAGATTTTTGAGATCCAGTTGAGATCCATGACTACTATGGTAATGGCATGGTGTTCTTTGAAGGCCTTTACAGTTGTCATAATATGTATTTGGTGATGTTTAATATGTATTTACCGTGATGGTTTTAAATGACAAGAAAGTGGCCTATAATACTATATGAAACCTTATCCGTTTTGACTTCGCTCCATAACTTTTTGTCCACTTTTGACCACATTATCGTGCTAGCCAGTAGCTCTATTTGAATAAGCTCCCAGGTCGTGTTTGAATATGTGAGTCCTGGGACGTCATTGATGGTCCTTTGTCAGAACCGTGTGGGTGTGTCGGCAGACAAAACCAGCCAGAGCTTTACTACAGAGATGGGTAAAAGGGGTTGTATTTGTTTGTTGTAAAATTTGGGTTGTGTTGTGGCCTGTTCCTAGTCTTTTCACATTAAAGAATGAGGCCAGCCGAATCATGTTTCGAGTATTTACAACTATTAATGGTAACTTAGACACCACTGCGCAGAGAGACTCAGCCTGGCAACTCTTCAGTCTCTTGGGTTCGGTCGCCATGTGGGACTATCATCACCATAACGACTTTGTTGGTTCAATCCGAGTGTGTCACACACTTAACCACGGCTATTAACCACTGTGCCCCTGCATAAAGGCCCTGTATAGTCACAGAGAAGTTCTTTGCTTAGGGGTAAACAGGTTGAAATACTAGTGGCCGTTTAATGAATATGAAAATATGCGCTGTGCTCTTTCCTCTCAATTACAAAATAAACACACCACTAAAATGACAGTGGTAAGAAAACAGCAGTTAATAAAAAGCATCTGATCACAGCGACGTGGATGTTTGCACGAGCTCTGCAATTCCAGTCAAATCTCGTCACATTTATTTATATAGCACTTGCTGTAAAAGATTGCTTTAGCAAAGCAGCTTTACAGTATTAAACATGAAAAATACGGCATTGACGTGTCAGCGTTTCAACAATTTCCACGCCAAAGTAGCCACGCCCACCTATTACATAATCGCCATGGGCCAATGGTAGTTCGAGCAACACTTGATGGTGTAGAATTATGTATATAAATCTCTAGGGATGCACCGATATGAAAATTTTGGCCGATAAAATACCGATAATTCTTTATATTTGAAAGCCGATAACCGATATATCGGCCGATAAACTTAAATCCACATTTTTATCTAATTTTGAGAGCCTTATTACAAAAACAAAAGTCTCACAATTAAATCCATGTCCATGTTATGGTGTTGTATAGCCGATATGACAGATTTGCACTGCACATGTTTTACTGAACCGTATTTTAATTTTTTTTTTTAGAGATTTCAATCATATTTCAAGAAATTCAAAAACATAAACAGTGCTCAACAAGTGTCTCAGCTGAAGGGAATAATACATTATTTATCAGCTTTAATATGTCGGCCACATTTTCTTACCAGGCCGATAACGATAACATTAAAAATGACATATATCGGCCGAGACCGATATGCTCGCCGATATATCATGCATCCCTATAAATCTCTTTATTTTTTGTTTTTTTGCATCCAGAGCTTGGCACACAAACCCGCCTCTCCTCACTCACTCGTTTCATTTGCCCCGGATGAATATTGTTGCTGTTACAGGGCTTGAATTTCGACGTGGGATTGCGCGTATTCTGCATAATTTTACTTATTCCTGAAGATTTTGTCACCCAAAGTGGAGCACATAAGCCACATCTCAGTACTAAATGAAGTCGTTTTTCACAGTCAGTTATGTTTATGTGAACGTAAACTGTTGAGAAAGAAAACGCATGTGTAACAGTATAGAGTTAGATCTTAAAGTGACAGCAGCCTAATATATCTGCTGCCAAATTATAAGAGAGAGATAATTAAACAAATCTCTATATGGCAGTTTTCCCCATGGTGTCAAATCGATATTTCCCTAATATTGATGTCAAAATTGTGGTCAGTGAAAATGCTGAGTGTCTAGTAACTTTGAAAAAGTCATTGGGTGAGCAAAAGAGTTCAGTTCATGTCAAGCCCTGGTTGCATCATCGTGAAGTCAAGTACATTTTTGCATTAATTCAGGACAGATTGACTCATAGAGAGACGGTTTTATTTTAAATGCTCGGGAGCAAGTCTGTTCTAGTATATAATACTTTGTGGCTTCTTAAAGTGGACATGAAGCAACGTTCACAATCTATTTTCTTTTCAGAATGTGATGTACTGATAAGTGAAACCGAATATTCAGTGGGAGAAAATGTAGGCTATGACGTTATCCTTCAGGAAATTAAGAGAACTTACAACTAGAAAAAAGTATCTAAAGGAGAGTGAGTTTTAAGGCCCGTACACACCGGGATGAATATCAGCGCGCGTTATTCAACGCCTTTTTTGTGTTTACACCCAAGCGATTTTCGCTGATGATGAGCCGAGTGAACATGCAAATTAATTCCTTGACATTAGATGGCGCCCATTTGCCCACTCCATACAGTTCTCTTTTATCAAGATGTTTGTAGTCGCAGTCGCGTTTGTCATGTAGTTCTTTATGTTCTAACACCAACGAGACCAGCAGCTCTACATTCATCTCGCCTCGCATCGTCCTCGTCTTATTTCGTACTTCTTATTTTCTCTTTCTAGACGCCGACGATACTTGGCGTAGATCTTCTTCTCCATTCCGTATGTGTGCTGTTCGGCAAGACCGTTTTTTGTTTGAGCGCCCCCAAGTTGTGTTTTACTGTAACTTCAGAAGCTCCAAACACGTGAGCAAAAGCAGCAATCTCATTGCTCTGATAGTTTTTGACGCGGCATGTTAAACTAACCCTGCGTCCCAATTTGCATACTATCCGTCCTAAATAGTATTCGAAAATAGAATTAGTACGTCCCAAATCGTAGTATTTTGAAATTAGTGTGTTAAAGATACCCGGATGGTCTACTTTTTCCGGTCAGAATCCGAAGTGTAGATCGACGCACACTCTAACGGCTGATATTGCCCACAAACCATTGCGCGTTGGACGAGGATTCGGTTAGAACTACAAACACGAGTAAAAAGTGTTAAAAAAAAAACTACAGACACGTAGTTGATACGGAGGACGCGCGAGTCCCCGCGGTTGTGTAGAGAGGTTTAGATAAAGAGCTTTGAGTGATTAACTATCAGTATCTAACCTGACGAAAATGAATTTATTCAATGTTGTCCACATTATATTGCATTTGCAGCAGCATTGTGAACTTTTGTAAAGACACGTTTAGCCATTACGTTTTAAATGCATCATTATATTCAAATTGCAAACACACGAGGAGAGCATGAAAGACCCACAACTGGCAGATGAAGGTGCTCTCCGAAACGGTAGGAAATAAAATTAGATAGAATGGAGGATTTTAACTGTGACAAGATGATTGACAGGGCAGTTTACGGTGACAGGATGCACGCAGCACGCGACAGAGCTGTCCGTTAAAGATGACGTGATAGTACGTCCCAAAGCCCCTACTCTTTTGCTACGCACTCAAAAGTATGTACTTTTTCCTCACAAAAAGAGTACATACTTTTAGGGCGTTGTATAAGTAGGCGAATTGGGACGCAGCATATAACTTAAAAAATGACGCTTTTACGTGTGACGTTTTCCACGTCGGTGTGCACACTCACATTGGCGCCCTTTGTTTAGTCACAAGGCGTTAAACGTCGGCGAATATCGTTTGCGAAATTCGTCCCAGTCTGAACAAGCCTTAAGGGTGACTCATTTTTGAAATATTATTATTAATAATATTTCAAAAATGTTAATATTTTTTGTAATATTATATATATATTTTTTCCCCCTGTGGTAAAACATTAATACTAATCACACATCATT